TATATATATATGTATATGTGTGTGTGTGTGTAGATGGATGATGTGTCTCCACTCCCTCCCACTGTACAAAAATGAAGCCAAAATATCCTGGACACAGCCGCTGCCATCTTGCACTGGTGATGTCATCGAAAGCCAGACCCTGCACAGTAGCAATCTCAAGTTTCTGCCATCCAATCAATCACCAGCAGCGCTATTCACAGCAAGCACATTGATTGGCACACAGCTGAAAATTCCACTAGCTGGTAGGCTAATTTCTGCAGTGTAAACGTGCTTATGTTATTAATGGGTGACTAGCAAAAAACAGCATATAATATCGTCACATATTGATTTCAGGCCCCTGAATCACACTGAATCGAAATCGTGTTGTTGCAGATAACTTTGTAATATCGGCAAATATTATCTATTATACATATATATGATATCCTTGTCCAAAGAATTGATAAAATATCATATGGTGATGAAACTAGTGATTTACACCCCTTAAAAATGGTACTTGGGACAGCCCTTTATTTTAGTGTTCTGTTTAGCTGCAAAATGTGAAAGTTTGACCGGCCAGTGGGCGGTGCTTCATTTCAGCGTGACTGTTTTCAACATAGCGGCCACAAACTTTCTCATTTCACAGCTAAACAGTTCACTGAAATATGTTTCTGAAAACCTTTGAGGCAAGAATGCATGAACAGAATCTTGACCTATATTTGATCAGGCTGACTAATTTGAAAGTTTGATTGCAGGTCACAAGCAATGACTGAAATGGCTGACAGTTGCGTTATAGACTCCTCTGCTCTGATTGGTCCTTTTCCTTCAGCTGCAGTTACTTCTAGTAAATACCATTAGAAGCACAAGGAGTGAGAGGAGGAACCTGATTTTTCTGTCTCATGTACGACTGTGTGAATATAATGACATATTCAGCAAATATGACATTATTATTTTTAATCAAAGCTACCAAACTGTAGCTTTAAAACATACACAGGCTAATTGAATAGCTCAAACTGCTAGCTTGAAATGCCTTTGATATGAGCTCTGAAACCTGACCGTAAAAACCTTCAGAAGGCGACCTTTCTCTTAATTTGGTCCTCTTACCACCTCACAAACCAGCTCACAATTATATAATCACACTTCATACCTCATCACTGATTCATCAGGGTCAACACACTTTAATCAGCATCGATATGATGCACTGTAAATGTGTCAGATTTAGCCAAAAGCCAGATTTTTATCTCAGCGAGACAGATAAAAGAGCAGACAAAAGATCATCGCAGCACAAGAGAACGATGCACCAGGAGTATGACTACATACTTATGTTGCCATGGTTACCCATATAAAATACTAACTGTACATTAACTGTTGTCTCCCTTTTTACCATTTCATCCTTACATGGAGTTTTCATCTCACAGCTCACAATCAGGAGCTACAGAGACATTTCGATGTATTTATATATGAATGAAATACATTTTTATTATTGTGTCATACTATGCCCCACCCACATGGGCTCACAAGACACCTTAAATTCCTATGTGCCAGGACCAGAGAGCATTTAAGTGACGGAGAGAGTCCAAAAATAAAAAAGCAGCTGAAACGTCTTTCACAGTTTAATCTTCATACCTTCACTAAGTAAAATAAAATTCATAAATCACTGACAGGAACATTTACTACGTGGCACTGGAAAGCGTTTGAATTTATGCTAATTAAATAATCTATCTTGTCTTCTTTTCCAGGCGTTTGAGACAAAGTTAACAGCAAACTTAAACACACCAAAATTAAACAGCTGTTCAAATTTTGGCTCGTTTGTACAGCAGAATATTTCAGGGTTTTGTCGAGCCATTTCATGGAACATTAACTCTCTTAAATCATCATATGTACGGTACAAAAGAAAATGGGATTCACTTTCCACTTCACCCAAATCAAACGTAAACGCAAACGCACACACACACATGCACACACACACACACACACACACACACAAATGCACTTTGCAAAAAAACAAATGTTAGAAGGAAGTGTTACTCTTTCTATTTTATCTGTATTTCATATATTTTAAAATCACAGAATGAGGTTTGGTTGCACAAATGCTGTTTTTATTGAAATACAAAGAACCTTGTCTTTGTAACAACCCCCTTCCATTACTAAAATCAACATCTAAATTATTGTTATTTAAAAATATTCTCAAAAGGATTCTAATTTCGCAGGTTTGACTCGGGCTTGCAACCATTTACTGCGTGTCAACCCCTCTCTTTCTCTCTCTCTCTCTCTCACCCCATTTCACTCTGTCCTGTTCATTAAAGGCAAAAGCCTCTAATTTTGTATTACGGCTTATTTTTGAAACACTGATTAATTATGCAATCTTTGTTTTTATCTTTTTTTTATTATCATTATTTAACATGAGTGCTATTTATTAATAGGGTAGGTATCTCCAGACGCCATTTTTGGTTTCTAACCTATCCTGCATAATATTTAAACTTTGAATTCTTACTGTATTTTCTAAATAAATGTATGTGCAAATTAATACAACTCAAGCAAACAGAGGCTTTTTATAAAGTGGGACCCTTACTTAAAGTGCATTGGACCTACACTGTCATCTTCCATATTATAGGGGTTTCGTTTTTGTTTGTTTGTTTGTTTCTGGCTTTGTGTGGTTGTAGGAGGTGATGAAGGTTGGGGATAGATGTAATGCCCACTATTTTTTAATTCTTATTTTCTTATTTTTTACTACTCATTTTATTTGTCACGTCATGTCAGAGCTGCTTTGTTCTGAGTTGTTTGTCAAAAATGGTAATAAATATATTCTCAAATAAATAAAACAAACTACACATACCCACGTTCAACTAGACATTGTGAACATTGTTTTTCATCCAAAACATGAGAGTATTTGGGCTGAAATGTAGAGCTCACCATGCAGCGTGGACACAACCACTCCCCGTTGGGTATCTCGGGGAGAGGTGGGTTGAGGCAGTGGATGTGGTAGGAAGATGGGCAGGTGTCGCAACACAGCAACTCCCCTCCATCTTTACACACTCGGCAAAACTCCATGTGGTCGTCCTCTTCCTCGCCTGCTGGCTCCTCCTCTTCTTCCTCCTCGTCTTTGGCCTCCCACTGGATGCCCTCTTTCTCCTGAGGGACACAGGTGGTGAAGGTTGTAGCAGAGGGTTAAATACAGCTCAATTAAATTTACCAACCTTGTTGTTTGTCAAAGAAAGCCAACCCACATTATTCCTACAAGGACACGTTAAAGGGTTAGTTCAGTATTTTTGAGCCTTGACCTTATTTTCCCATGTTTTGTGTCTAAGCGACTAATGGGAACAACAGTTTTTGAAATTGTTGCAGTACTGAGCAAGACTGCTGCAGACGGTGATGTAACCATTTGGGGCATGCGCGTACAATCAATTTACGTCCACTGAAAGTGCTTGTTTTGCCACTGAATAGGTCAGATTGTTATTCTAAGTGTCTCACAACTTATCAAAAGGAACTGTTGAGAGAAAGACCTTTCTTTTTTTAACCAGAACAGCCCCAAAATTACTATCGCCAAGCCCACCAGACTCCATGTAAATAAACAGTCATTTTATAATTGTAAAACACGCCTCATTCAAAGTCAACGGGAAAAAATAAAACTCACAGAAGCTTTCTTAGTTTGTCTTTCCACTGTTCCAACAATCACCAACTCAGGTTTGCTTGTAATAAACCCTTAGTTCATTCAGATAGATGAAAAGATATGCTGGCTCTATGCACACTAACATTACTGTTTATTTAAATGGAGTCTGGTGAGTTTGGTGATAACAGTTTCAGGACTGGTGAAACAAAAAGAATCCTACTCTTTAACAAAAGATCTGTGTAGGAATCATTTTCATAATGTTGTTAGACACTTATAATAATAATCTGAACCTGTCAGTGGCAAAACAAGCACTTTCAGTGGACATCAATTGACGGCACCAACATGTTTTTGCTTGCCTCTCAATATATTTACCTTTTCCCTGTATAATACTGGATACTTTTACCTCTTTGTGCCTTTAAAAATGACTCAAATGAAAGACTCTGAGAAAAGTACAGTAGATTTTTGGCAGAATTATTCCCAACTAGTACACATGCAGCCAGTATTGCGGGGTTTTAGTTAGACTACACTTTAAGGGGTCACAAGCCAAAAAGGTTCAGTTCCACTGCTGATGATTAAAGTCCAAACTAGAGCACTCGGAGAGCGCAGACCTCTGCCAAGCAGCTCCGATTTCCCCCATTTTATTATTTTATCCACTTCGCTTCAACCGATCACCACCAAAATTTTTATCATCTGTTCCTTGTCCTATTATCAACCTTTCCTGAAAATTTCACAAAATCCGTTCAGAACTTTTTGAGTTACTTTGCAGACAAACAGACAAACAGACCAACGCCGGCGAAAACATAACCTCCTTGGCGGAGGTAATAAGAGATCACACACACCCTCACAAATATCCCAGCATACTTGTGTTGTTTAAACAGAATATTCAGAACATTACCATGAAGCTCAAACATGTACATACATCATGAGAAACTGACATATGTGGTGTCATAACATATGGTGGAAGATGTCTTAGTACCATGGCAGTCTCAAGCCAGGGTTGTCAAAACTAAGAAAACAACATGTCACTGGAAATGAAGTACGACATTAAAGACACTCAAATGCTGAAAGAAGTGTTTCACTGCTGGAGAGACTCTGGAGAGTCTTATCATAAAACTGGGCTGTCTATGTGGTAGAAAGACGCAAATCAAATACTTTTGAAATTTGTTCTCTATCACCAGAGAAAATAGAGGAAAAGAACTGTGGTATTTGTTTTTGGTCAAGAGGTAGAAAACCTACAACTAGTAGAATACACTGCACCGCCAATAATAGGCTCCTGTGGGTGACGTAATGCAAGCTTGTCCATTTGACACGGGAAACAATATGGCGGCCATCTGGCAACAATGTCAAATTAGCAAGCTAAAATATCTTTCTGGAAAGATTTAAAGTGATAAATAGGCAATGCTGTACCAGAATATTGATTCATATTTGATCAGCACTGCTAAGATTTACAGTTTGATCTCAGTTTTTTCAGCCTCCATTTTTACAGTACAGGAAACAGTATGGTGCCCACTTCAAGTTCACAAATTCTCGTATTACAGCCGAACAGTGCACTAAAACATGTTTCCGAAGACATTTTAGATCAAAGATAAGAAATTAAGTAACATAATCTTGGTTTATATTTGATCAGCACTGTCTAGTTTTACAGTTTGATCTAAGTTTGGTCTGTGTTTAAGAGAGGGGGTGGGTCTCTCTCTATCTCTTTGTGACTGTGGTGGCAGGCATATGAAAATCAAGGAGGTTTAAGAGAGAAGACTTCAAGGCGTTATATCACGTCACACCATTTGGTGCAACACACGTGCAGTGAAATCTGGGCTGCATTTGCCGAAAAGCTCAATAGCTGCCGCACAATCATAGAATATGTGATGATTAATTTGTTTCACTGTGGCGTCCACTGTCAGCTTTGGGTCGCAAAAATTTTGTACAAAACTAAAGATATGGATGAGAATTACAGTTTTGTACCAACTGAAAAAGTCTGCAAATGTTCTACTATATATCAGGTGCCATCCAACTGAGTAAACCCAACATTTGTGTCAGGCTAATAAGAGTGCACCCAAAGAGCACCTGAGTGGACGCCATTAATTTATTTCTCGCACCATCTGCTGTAACCCTCCAGCATCGTAGCTCCAGTTACACTGCGCTTGTGTCATACCCCATAGCTTCCATGGGGTCAAGCGCATCTTCCAGCCTTCCTTGAATAGAGTGTGCCAGTAAACCCGGAACTCCGTTAGCGCTTTTAGCACTTCCAGTTCTCTCGTCTAAAAGTCAATACGTCTTTTGAATGGGATTTTGGTAAAATGCCTCAAATGAGGTCTGTGGTTAACAAAAGCTTAAGCGAGTTTCAGGTTTTCTTCTACGACATAAAACACGTCAGTAAATACCCTACTTGTGAATTTTGAAGCTTTTACGTGTCGTAAAAAAGGCGGTTGCTAACAAGTTGCTCAATACGACTACAAACCCCGTCGGGGACATTAAACGTCATCACCCCCGAACAGGCAAGAGTGCTGGCAGTCCACCATTACAGCTTCTTATTTAGCTTAAACAGTCCGATTTCCCCATTATACAATGTTTTTAAAATACAGCGGCCGAAATCAGTTGAAAGCTTAGTGGCGGTGATGTCAAGAGTCATGCGACCGTGGAGTAGTCATGTAGTCCGTTAAAGCCTTACTTCTGGCGATCGCATTTAAGCTTCAAATGCGGTGTGAAAGGTGTGTTAAGACTATCTAAACTTGTGTTAGCCACAGAGCTTATTTTCTGACATAATCCAAAACGCAATGCAAAAATCACATTCACTTTCTCTTCCGGGAACCAGCGCGATGTTTCCGGGTTTTGACGTCAGCCCTGGCACACTCTATAGCCTTGATCAGACAGACAACTCATGTTTTAAATGTTTACTTCAACAGCAGAACATATTTGGAGTTTGGCCACTAGAGTCCAGCCTCATTGCTCCCTTCAGATATATTTACATGAGATATTAGGGAGTGATGATTAAATATTTCCCCCCTTAGCTGGATGCTGCAGGTGGATGCTGGGGTGCAGGTGGGGCTGAAAGAGTGAGCAGCAGCACTGATGCAGGGCAGCAGCTGCATTGACGAGGCAAAGGGAGAGCTGGGAGGATTTTGCTGCTTAATTAGACCACCGAATTGGATGGGTGTGTTTGTAGATGACATATGGAGAGTGACGTACAACGTGTGTGTATGAATCAGTGCAGCTCGAGTTGACTGCCTGAACTAGCTCGCAGGTGTCGCTCCATTTCAAGCAACAGTGGTAGAGACATTCTCACAGATCACCACATTAGCAGGTTATATATTGTTATATTAAACCCATGTACTCACACAGTGTGGACAGCTCCATTTGCCCTCGGGGGCCTTCTCCAGCTCAGGGTCCAGACAGACCAGGTGGTACGCTCTGGGACAGGTGTCACACAGGATGATCTCTCCGCCCTGCTGGCAAACCTCACAGTAGTCCTGGTGGTCCGTCTCATAACCATCACCATCTTCCTCTGCAGCAGGTAAAGGAAGAGGCAAACATGGGCGATTCCCACATACAGAAATGTACTTGAATGCATCTGTTATCAACACTATAGGATTTAAACTATTTACACATTACTGTGAGTGAGCTCTAAATGTGCACAGGACTCTATGAGCGTGAGGGCAATAGCTGCTGAGAAAGAGCATCTGCCTTCGGAAAACATTCCCAAAACAAATACAGCTTAAAAAAATAAATTTTAATTTCCTCGTTACCCATAGTCAAACAGTCTGGTTCTGAGGGATTTAAATGGGATTTTGGAGGGAAAAAAACCCACCACAGAGCATGGCGTGTGTAGACAGTAAACATACTTTTCCTTTTTTTCCGCCCACGTCGGGCCTTTTTCTTGGTGGCGGCCCCCGAGGTATCAGAAAGCACAGAGGCACTGTGGATGCTGATGTCATCAAAGTCTGACTCCTCCAGGAAGTCCTCCTCGCTCTAGAAACCACACACGCACACACAAACTAAAAAGCTCAGAGCTACTCAAAAGAATTAAAATAAACCAACTTTCAAAGTAAGCGCAGTAAACAGTCTGGTCACTTTGATGCCATTGAAAATATAGTGTAGTGAGGAGCTCGCAGGATGAATGAGCAGAGGAAGATGGTTCTGGAAAAAAAAACAAGACATACCGAGGATGCTTTCTTCTTCTTCCCACTTTGGCCCGACTTTGATTTGGTCTTCTTCGGCTTGGGTTTCTTCTTCACCTCCTTCACAGTCTTGCTTCTCTTCCTAACTCCTTGCCCTGAGACACAAAGACCCGTTAACCGAGTGGCGTTCCCGCTATTACTTCTAAAAATATGTGTTCAGTCACGGTTCACTAGGCCTTACCCTTTCCCTCTTTGGTTTTGGCTTTTTTGATTGGCCCCAGCTGAGAGCTCGGCTGGCTGCTGCTGACAGATGTCGGCTGTGCCACGGTAACCGTTTCCACGGCGGCAGCCACAGCAGCAGCCACAGCGGTGGCAGATGCGCCTTTGAACGGGTTGTTGGCACTGAACTCTCGCCACTTGGCCCCTAACACTGTCATCATCTTTGACATGGGAATCTTCGGGTTCTTCTTGGCAATGAGAGGCCTGAGTAAAACCGGGGGAAGAGAGGAGACAACAATGGCAGCTTTATTATGTCACACTTCATTCCCGTTGATGTAATTTCTACTTCCCTCAGCACTGGAGGGAACTGGGGTTTGATTTGCTGACATCCCACTGCCCCTTAAGTTTTGTTCTCCCTGCTTTGCTGTGTGTATGTCATGTTTGTGATTTGTCAGGCAGCAGCTTGAGGTTTGGCACGTTGGCCTGTGAAAGATAGTGGGTCAGAGCACCGAGTCCCAGAGCCTCCTGGCTGTCACAGGCATCCAGTAAGCAGCTGACTACTCACAGGGGGCACTGCAGGAGCTCATGCTCCACTTTGTCGGAGCAGAGGCTTAGCCGAGCCAGACAGCCCCAGGTGAGACAGACTCTTTACAACAGCCGAGCTTTCTAGCACAAACAAAAAGAGCAGTGTTTGCTCGTCACACCACACTCTGCTCTCACTGTGGAGTTTTTGTTGGAAGTGTCAGTGAGGGTTTCTGACAATCCACAGAAACAGAGGCAGAACAGAGCAGTTAGCACAGGAAGATAATCCAGACACAAAATTAGATACTTGCCTGAGGAACTGGCTGAAAGCCTTGTAGTTCGTGATGGTTTTGTAGTCGTCCTCCGTGAAGCCGTACTGAACGTCTTCCAGACCCCACTCCTGCATCAACTGGCTGGATGATTTAGGTTCCTATGGAAATTCAGATGGGAGAAATCATAATTCAAATGTTAAATAATGTTTAAAGGAATATTTCACCCCCAAATAATCATCTGTAAATCAATTACTCACCCTGTGTAACACAGCAATATCAAAAAATCCGCTTATAAACTCTCACACAGCTTGAGCAGTATAATCCAAGTTTCATTTATCTAGTTGTATGCTCAGTAACAGACTTTTCTGATGGGGAACTGAACTAAAAGTAAAACTTATCTATGCTCTCTTTGAAGCCAGACTCCATTGACAAAAACAGTGACTTTACTGAATCCAAAGTAATCCTTTAAAACACCAATGTCACACAATAATGCAATCATACTTACTTATCAAGGCAGTGGTAGACCAGCAGCTCCTGTGTTCAGTGAGGTAAAATGATTGTTTTTGTCAATGGAGTCTGGCTTTGAAGAGAGCATACCATTGTACCTGTACATGTTGTACTGTTTTAGTTCAGTTACCCGTCAGAAAGAGCTGTCTGTTTTGGAAGTACTGAGCATATTACTGGAAAAATGAGGCTTGGATTGTACTGCACAAGTTTGGATAAAGTTTAGCCTTTGTTAAAGACTGACCACTATGACTCTCCATTTTTTGATTCTTCACTCACCAAAGAGGCACGCACAAAAAACAAAGTCTACTTCGTGATGTTAATGTAACATGAGGTCAGTAACGGATACAAATTGTAACTGGTAGGATGAAGTATTCATTTAATAAATGATAATAGTTTACCAATAATACCCCTTTTAGGAATAGCCATCCTGAACAATAAAATAAACAGACTATTTTTAACTGTTGTGTTTAATTGTTGCAGTGTTTTTGGATAAAAAGAGTCAGAGGTTTTATTACATTGTTGGACTGCACGACACCATATTTTCAAACTTCCCCTCCAGTCCAATGCCAGTTTTTCTCTGAATGGAAATAATGTGCTCTCCCCTTTTGGTTTGTTTCGTCTTTGTTTTGCCTTCACAACACCACATATACATTCAAAATTGCAACCACCACCTACAGACTACAGATGTTATACTGCTGTTTTTGCCTTAGTTTCAAATCAAATGTGGTTTGAATTAATTTAAATCTTGTGTGGTCTCTTTCTTTGTCTAGCGTACTGAGCCTGGGCTGTGATGTGGAAACTTGGAGCCTCCAGTGCACATACACTGAGGATGGAGCTTTAAGTGAAATAGGAGAGATCCTCTGTCAACTAGATAAACCTTTGAAATGAACATTTGCAGTTTCATAGTTTATAGATTTTTCGATGAAAAAAAGGAAGCAGATGTACTTTTAACCTTATCACACACAAATTATCATTCCATTCCATTTTTATATGTCTTAAAGCAAGTGTTACGGGATCTTTAAGTTTTAGTCGTACATTCTGCCATTTTAGAAAATGACATGTCTAATTAATGGAATATATAGTATATGTTGATACATATGTAACTTCTCAGAGTACTAGTAGTCAATAAATGTTAAAAATAGGGATGTCAGTTTCAGTGAATTTTGCATATAGCCTGACACTCATTAACCAGTATGACATGAAATACAAGAGGTGCTTTCCTCATAGTCCGGCGCTCCATTGCCTCAATGTGCTTTGGCGTCGCATTTTGAAGCTCTATCCATTTAGAGGTGGTAAAATTTTAATATCTTGTGTTGTTAATGCCTTGCCTTCTGTTTTATTTTCTGTTGGCTTTGCTGACGGACAGGCGGCTAGCTGTGTAAACATGACACATGGCCTCCTGTCTCCACTGGCTAACTAGCTGCCATAGCTCGTCACTGCACATCGGCTGGGCACGAACTAGCTAGCAGTATCGCTCATTCGGTGATTAACACTGGTAACACCGTCCTGACTGCCCCAAAACCCCCTCAACAGTGTTTACTATGTTAGCACCACTAGCCGTGCTGATGCTGCTAATGGTGCTAACCATGCTCACAGAGCGTTTGTGTTTTAAATGTCTTGCCTTTTATTTTATTTTCTTTGGCTTTGTGGGCAGATAGACAGCTAGCCGCATTAACATGCAGAAACGTGGCAGCTAGCCTTCAGTTTCCACGAGTTAACTTGCTGTTACTGCTCTGCACTACTTGCTGGCTTGTTAGCATCGCCACTCATTCTGCTATTAGCCTATGGCTAGTAACAGTAGTAAGTGTCCCAGCTCTTCCCAGGTCGCCCCAGCTAGTAAGCAGTTAAATTTTGAGCCCCAAAACCCTTACAGCAATGTTAACTATGTCAGCAGCATTAGCTCTGCTAATGCTGTTAATGGTGCTAACCACGCTCACAGAGCTTTTGTGTCATAGATGTCTTGCCTTTTATTTTATTTTCTGTTGGCACTGCTGACCGACAGGTGGCTAGCTGTGTTAACAATGGAAAATATGGCCTCCAGTCTCCACTGGCTAGCTAGCAGCATTGCTCATTCAGTGATTACCACGGGAGCGTATCTATGTTTCCCGGGTTCTATGTTCCCCACTTAACCCTGCAAAAAGGTTCTATGTTCCCCGCTTACACAAAAAAGGTTCTATGTTACCAGGGTTCTATGTTGCCCGCTCAACCAAGCGGGGAACACATAAGCTTTTTTGTGTAAGCGGGGAACATAGAAGCTTTTTTGCAGGGTTAAGTGGGGTCATTGTCCTGTTGAAAAATAAATGATCGTCCAACTAAACGCAAACTGGATGGGATGGCATGTCGCTGCAGGATGCTGTGGTAGCCATGCTGGTTCAGTGTGCCTTCAATTTTGAATAAATCCCCAACAGTGTCACCAGCAAAACACCCCCACACCTTCACACCTCCTCCTCCATGCTTCACAGTGGGAACCAGGCATGTGGAATCCATCCGTTCACCTTTTCTGCGTCTCACAAAGACACGGCGGTTGGAACCAAAGATCTCAAATTTGGACTCATCAGACCAAAGCACAGATTTCCACTGGTCTAATGTCCATTCCTTGTGTTTCTTGGCCCAAACAAATCTCTTCTGCTTGTTGCCTCTCCTTAGCAGTGGTTTCCTAGCAGCTATTTGACCATGAAGGCCTGATTGGCGCAGTCTCCTCTTAACAGTTGTTCTAGAGATGGGTCTGCTGCTAGAACTCTGTGTGGCATTCATCTGGTCTCTGATCTGAGCTGCTGTTAACTTGCTATTTCTGAGGCTGGTGACTCGGATGAACTTATCCTCAGAAGCAGAGGTGACTCTTGGTCTTCCTTTCCTGGGTCGGTCCTCATGTGTGCCAGTTTCGTTGTAGCGCTTGATGGTTTTTGCGACTCCACTTGGGGACACATTTAAAGTTTTTGCAATTTTCCGGACTGACTGACCTTCATTTCTTAAAGTAATGATGGCCACTTGTTTTTCTTTAGTTAGCTGATTGGTTCTTGCCATAATATGAATTTTAACAGTTGTCCAATAGGGCTGTCGGCTGTGTATTAACCTGACTTCTGCACAACACAACTGATGGTCCCAACCCCATTGATAAAGCAAGAAATTCCACTAATTAACCCTGATAAGGCACACCTGTGAAGTGGAAACCATTTCAGGTGACTACCTCTTGAAGCTCATGGAGAGAATGCCAAGAGTGTGCAAAGCAGTAATCAGAGCAAAGGGTGGCTATTTTGAAGAAACTAGAATATAAAACATGTTTTCAGTTATTTCACCTTTTTTTGTTAAGTACATAACTCCACATGTGTTCATTCATAGTTTTGATGCCTTCAGTGAGAATCTACAATGTAAATAGTCATGAAAATAAAGAAAATGCATTGAATGAGAAGGTGTGTCCAAACTTTTGGCCTGTACTGTATCTATCTATATTTGCACCAGTTGCTGTGTTGACACAGTGCTAATGATGCTCGCAGTGCTGTAAAATGTCCCTGAGGTTTGTGAAAAGAACTTAAAATCTAAGTTATTATAAAGAGAAATTCAGTGTGAGTCTAAAATTAATACATTTTTAGCACCATACCTTGAAATAAGCTTAATTTAGAATACACAGGCTAATAGTAAAGCAGAATTTGTCATCTGTTTTAGCCTCATGGACCAAGACTCACTTTCATGTTCCCATCATCATCGTCATCATCATCATCTTCATCATCTCTCTTCTTCTTCCTGGGCTTCTTCTCTTTCTTCTCTTTCGGTTTCTTCTTCTTCTTTTTGGTTGGGCCGTACGCGCTGCTCTCACTCTCTGAGCCTATTTCTGGCCGTTCCCGTTCCTCCTCCACCTCTGAGGTCTCCTCCAGGTCGCTGTCAATCCTTGGCTGGATTCCTCCCTGAGTTTGACAAGGACACATGAATGTTATGTATAAATAAATGCACAATATTGGTTATTTGGTATTCAATAGCAGGACAGGAGCATATGTCAGGTTCAGATTTCACTGATCTCTCTCATTCTCCAGCAGATAAAGGTGTGTGTGACTCGCACTTTCACAAAACTACAACTTTATTTGTGCTGAATTAAATTTCACCCAGGCAGTCTTCGCATGTCTTTGATACAGTCAAGCGCTGCTGCCAAACAGCTATTTTTATAAATGTAAACAGGTAGGATCTGACTTTGAATCTCGCTTCAGCTCTCTACCTCGAGACGTGACTGTGACTGACTGAAGCTCGCATCAAAGCCAGATTCCTGGGTCTAAACTGAATTCAAGGTCTGTATTTTACCATTCAGAGGACAAAGGAAATCTATCTCCAGTTCAGAGCGATCCTCCGAGACAGAATTTCAAATCTAGTGATAGAAATATGGATAATTAAAATATGAAACTCAATGATATAGGGCAAATAAGCATGGCATTAATTTTGCCAGGGTTAGGGATTAGAGCTCCCACAGAGGCCACCCACGCTAAAAACATATGCTGTCAGACTACTATAAAGCACTTTGGATAAAAGCTTCTTCCTGATGGCATTTGCATAAATTAAATTACATCACTCCAAAGTGTCACTGCTTTCCTAATATTATAATTCTTCCGCCTTGTGATGAAATGTATAAATCATGACATTACGAGTCAACAGTTAGCGGGGTGAGTTGATGAGGATGTCGAGGCAGAGGCACGTTCACCTTTTATTGAACGAACAAAGTGAACCAACAAACAGAACACCTCCGGGCGGTGCGGCAGCCAATCAGTGCTCAGAGCTGATCTGCGGACTGAGCTGCATCCTGCCTGTTTAATATGAGACATCTGGAAGGCTATATGGATTTAACAGTTAACAGGTGTTGTTTGTGTGATCAAGAGTGTTGCATATGAACAAATTCACTGGTGCATGCTCACGGTGGTATGTGTGTGTGTGTGTGTGTGTGTGTGTGTGTGTGTGTGTGTGTGTGTGAGTAAGAAAGAGGGAGAGGGGAAAATATCTGGCGTTTCTCTTTGTATGCACCTCTCACATTACTGTCTGTGTGCTTGTGTGTAGTATGTTTGTGCACAGGCATACATTTTTGGGGGTGCAGGGAGCATGTCCCCGTAAATATTTACAACATGTGCATTTGTCCCGCCCAATAAAAACATTAAAGTATTCAATTTCAATTCAGTTTTATTACTAAAGCCCAGTATCGCAAATTAAATTAAAGCATACGATATCCCTCTGTCCTTGGACCCTCACAGCGAATAAGGAAAAAAAATCCCCCAAAAAACATTTTAATGGGGGGAAAAATGGTAGAAACCTAGGAAGAGCAACTGAGGAGGGATCCCTCTTCTGGGACAAAACAGATCAACATAATAAATTTAAAATGTAGCCTTTTATTTTGAAATTTACACCATAATTTGAAACACAAATTGGTGCATAAACATTCATCAGAATGAGGGAAATTAAGTGTTTGACACTCGCAAATTCTCTTGTGAAGGAACCCAAACCCTCCTTTGCACATGTGTGCCCCCCAGTGTTAAAGCTAAACCATGTGTTTGCACATTTGTTTGTATATTTCTGAATCTTTCTTTGCTCCTAAGATTCATTTTTGTACAGGTTTGGGTCAGTCTATTGTTGCTGTTTTTTAAATTTCTCTGTTTCATTCGTGCTTCTTTCCCTTTTGTGTGAGGACAACTTTGTGCGTACGCCTTTTATGCATGTACAGTATGTAGGTTTTCCGTGTGCGAACATGTGTGTGCACATGCTACGGTGTGAATTAGTGCACAGCAGCTTTGTGCTCCGCTCGCTGCCTGTTGCTCAGCAGGCCTGTGTGGATCCATGGAGGGACTTACAGGCGTTTTGCTCTGTAGCGCAGTGGAAAGGCTCACGTTGCCGCAGCGCCCGCCAACCCTACCAGCAGCCTGGCTGTGTTGCCATGGTGACCAAATTTGAGCAGTGTCTGGCTCTCTCTCTCTTTCTCTCTCTCTCACTCTCTCTTTCTCATAGCTCACCCCCCCTCCCCGCACGCCTTCCCTTTTCTCTCACTTTCTCTCTTTCACATCTCGCAGCCCCCCCTTACATTATTTTCTCTCTCACTCTCTCTTTACAGCTCCCCCTTTCTTTCTTTCTCTCTCTCACTCTGTCTTTCTATCCTGCCACTCATCCCCCCCCCCCCCCACACACACACACACACACACACACACACATGCACACACACACTCTATCACAGTGGCAGCCAATGGAACGGCGCCATCCAATCAGACACGTTTGCATAACGAGCTTGTTATGCAGAGGCCTGTGGTTGCAGAGCTGGTGCTCCAGCACCCGTCTAGACAAATCTCATTTATGCATAAGAAGAAGGAGAGAGAGAGTAAATTGAAGATAGTGTATGGGGGATGGGAGTGGGGGTGGAGATGGAGGAGGGAAAAAGCAAAGAAGCAGAACCACTGTTCGAGAGCAACTGCAAAGACAAGGTGGAACTGTGCAACAACCTCACCGTGGCCCCAGAGTTCAACGTTGCACACACATCACAGGACCCGAGAGGACAGTGGCAGCAACAAAGAGGGTGTCTCTACTTTTAGAGGGCAGAAAATCAGATAAGTGCTGATAACGTAATCAAATTAGATGCTTCCCCATAATGGCTCTGCCTCGGGGAGATTGCAGAGGATGCGCGCAGAAAATGAGCAAAGACATGGATATTCAATAAAATCTAGTTCAACAAGAGGAGGAAAAAAATACTGCTGTAAAAACACTTTATGGTTCCAAAACAACAGCCTCTTCTCTTTCCCAGAAATCAGCAACAGCTCTCTGTTGACTCACAATCCTTGAGAGGATACCGAACTTATAAAAACAAGACAGAGGCTCATCTCAAACCCGACTGTATTTCAGCAAAAATATTAAAGCTACAAGCAGCTCCCTCACTGCTTCATGGCTGTTTTATTGTGGCCAAACTGCAGTCTCTTCTTTTTCCAATAACATTAACTGCCTTCTATAAACTTCTCTACCCTTGATTTAGTGTTTTGTTTTTTTTTTTGTTAAAAGACATGCATATTCCCTTTGTTTCACTGCAGATGAGAGAAAGGAGGCAAGTATGTTTCTCCCTGGCTACCATTCCTCCCGCCAGCAGCTCTGACCTGAGACTGGGATGTGCCACTGACAGTCTCTGACCCCAATTGACTTTTGGCCCCTGTCTGACACCAACCTTTGGGGAGTGATTGGAAGTGAATTACAGCAGCAGCGGTTCCTCAGTGGGAGGGCAAGAGTGGAAGAAATAATAGGGAGGGTGGAGGCAAAAGAGAGAAAAAGCAAGAAAGAAAGAAAGATAGAAAGAAAGAAAAAGATAGAATGAGATTTGCAGTTCCTGTGACGCAAACGCAGCAACAAAAGCAGCGGCATCACGATCAAGGCAAAGTGAGGTGATGCATGTGAGAGGCGAGAGGAGAGGGGAAGGAAGAGGAGAATACAGAGCAGAGTCTGTGTGTGTGTGTGAAAGAGAAAGAGCGGGAGGAGAGTGTCAGAGGGAGTCCCCCCCTCATTAGCTCAGTGAGACCCAGAGCTCAGTGTTTACCACAAGCAGCCAAAGGGCCGGGTGGCAGCCTGGCCAGCCAAGCTCCTCACAGCACTGCTGGCATCTCCAGCCAGCAGAGGGGAACATCCTGGCTATGTCACTGACACTGTTAGAGCCGTTGCCAACACAGGCGGGAAACGCACTGGGAATACAGTGAATTCCTGTAATCATTGAATAAAAAAATTCTTCAGGCTTTTTAGAGTTTGGCTGAATCGCCAGGAAAAGTAAATGTAGATTTAACTTTTCCAGGCGACGTGAGCACTGGCTTCATGAGACGCTGGCTCTGTTTGTCAAATTACCCTTCAAGTTATGGTAACAGTGGACCGTTTCACCATGTGTGATGTAAAAGGTGTCGCTCAAAGTGATAATCCCACTGCAAATTATCACTCAGCTGCAGTTCTCTTTAAGCTGATTGTCTTGGGTTTCTGGTGTTACACTGAATTCTGTCACTCCGCACATTCTGTGACCTGATTAGGAGCTGTTTTCTCGACACGTCTTGAGACAATGTCAGCTTAGCCCTGGGGTTAGGTTAAAAAAGGGGCAGTCTACATCCCGAGGGTGAAGCTAGTGGTGCACGGGTACAGGAAGTATAATATTAACTCCTCTAAATATAAAACATCCTTTGAAAGATATATTAAAAGGATGCCAGTTAGGCTTCACTGGTGAGGGAATAAAACAATAGATCTCTGCTTCAGGTTGTGACCAGGCTCAGCACTGCTTGGGTTTTTGTCCGAGTCTTGTTCACTTATTTGTGAGCTACTGGTCCCACACTATGTGCCATCAGGATTGGAGTAGGTATAGGGATTAGGCTGAGGTTGGGGCTGAGTTAGCAGTTGCACATGACTGGTTGGGGATTAGCCTAACTTGTTGGGTTCACATCAAAACAAGGGGAAACACAAATCAACGGGAAATAGACTTCAGCACAAGAGTTTGGTCACAGAATATGGTGCAACACCAGCCTACAACCACTGCTATCACTGACCTCATTTCCAGCTGCAGCAGGGAGCTGGTTTTTGTAAAAGAGCTCAGATAGACCCACAGCATGCCGCAGGCCCAGCAACAAATGGCACACAGACAAAGTTGGTTACTAGCTGGTGAACACATTGGAGAATTTGGCAGCTAACAAACCAGATGTTTCCCTCGGCTGAACTCTTAAGTTCATCCTCTACAAGTTGGTGAAGACAAACAGAGCTATAAGAAAGGTGAGTATTGGATTTAAGCCCTGTCCACACATACACAGGCATTTTTGAAAATTGATACTTTCCTTTACATTTTTGCATCTCGTCCACGCAAACTCGAGTTCACACAGGTTTTAGGTCGCTAAAAAGGAGACTTTTGAAAACACCCTCTACGGTGCAATTTTTTCAAAACTCTAGTTACTTTGTATCAGTGCAGACTTCTAAAATGGATTGTTTGGGAAACAAAGACCTCATCTCCTAAATTTGTGGATGCCCACTGTTGCTTTGTGTAATGAGCATGCGCCAGAAACAACAACAGCAATAGCAGAGTTGTTGGCAGAGTCCGCCAGAGGGAATGGTTTCAGATCAGCCTGAACCCTGATGGTGGGATACATCCCAGAGTGGGATGCTGTCAATGAGGAGTTGTAGGAAAACTTCCCCATGTCCAGAGCATCAATTGCATCTTTGAGTGAGCTCTTCTGTCATTATTGTGAGCAGAAATCAACAGTGAAGCAAATTCCAGTAGGTATTTTGAAAAAGCCTGCCCACTTCATTTAAGACGAGGGGAGACTGCAGACGACGGTGTTTGGAGTTGTTTTTGCATTCTAGTGTGGATAGAGATATTTTGTGGATAGAATTAATTTATTAACAGAGGGGAAATATATCTGTTTTAAGCAATATCTGTATACCTGTAGACAGTAGGGCTGCCCCGTAATAGTCGACCAAACGTTAGTCGACCAGAGAGGTAGTTAGTTGGCAAGATTTCATTGGTTGCTTAGTCGCACAAAAAAATACAAACAAGCAAATGTGAAACTCTACAAGGAGCTGCGCCTTGTGAAAATAAATCAGAACCTATATGACTGAACCATGTGGGAATTTAATTTGAAAGGACAGAGACAGGAAGAGGCCACGCTCAGCATTCAGACAGGAGTCACGTTACAAACCAATCACAGCTAACAGATATCTTTCCCTTCTTCTGTAAATATTCAGTCTGATAAATACGGAAAAGTTGATCATGTTAGTGCAGGGCTATCCAAAGCTTTACATCTGTCCCACGGACGATAGGCCTACACACTTACAGCACCTGGAAGAAGATCAGCTCTGCACTTTTTCAGCTAAATAGGCTATATGATGCTTGTTTAGGCTGCTTAGCAACCTAGACGCAACCTGCCGCCGCGCTCTTGAAAGCTGGTACAGAAAAGCCACAAAAGTAGCACCCAGTGCCTGACCTCATGTTTTCCAGGAATGTGTACGGCCCTTAATTTACAGGGCTGGTACCTGCGGTTATTCCACAGGCTAGTTAATAACATGTCGGGCAGGAAATCCAAAGCGTGGGATCATTTTGAGAAGGTGAAGGACGAACCCAAGGTGATATGTAAACTCATCTTCATTGGTCGACTACAAACATGAAGTATCATCTGAAACATGGAAGTAGCTACATGCCCATTAGCCCACAGCGTCATTAACAGGCGGCTCGCTCAGTGTGTGACGTGCACTTGTAGATAAAATATAGGCCTATATTAATGAAGGTTCATTAGTACGGTTTTGTATTTCTCTGTAATGTAGCACAGTGTTAACAATGTTACTGATACTATTCTTTCTCACACCTTCAACTCAAACCATTGTGTTGCCCCACCCAAAATATATAATTTGATAATCAAGTTAATATCGGAAACATGCAGGTGACTAATCGACTAATGGCCATAAATGACGACTATTGGTCGACTAGGAAAATTCTTAGTTGGGGCAGCCCAAGTAGACAGGGCCTAAGATTTTGAGGCAGCCATAAGCAATATATGTAAGACTTGAGAAATCACATTGATCCATCTTGCAAATAAAATGATGAACTCATAAACAATGCAACACACTTTGCTCAGTTCAATTAGGACTTACTAATAACGGCTGACACTAGCTCATGTTAATGAATTTTCAATTAAGTTAAATATTGATGTACTAAGAACATTAATGACTCAGTTCACTACATTTTAGCATTTACTCCCCACCCTTAATTATCATGTGCCCTCAGTGGCCACTGTTGATCACAAGTCAAATAGGCAAGCTTTAAAAGCTTTGTGATTAGCTTATCTTAGTGATAAGTGATCTCACCATAACAAATCTGGTTAATTAACTAGTTAATTGACTAGTGTTAATGGTGGAAGCAGCTCAAACCTCTGAACTGTTGTCTTCATGCTGAAGACTAAAGACTAGAAAAGCTCGTCTGTCAAAATTGCTCCATCACAGCTCCGACTCCCATCGCTCACTTGGCACAATCACTGTACTTCTGACCTACAGTCTCTGCCATCAGCACCAGCACCACAGGCACAAATCTACACTCTAAACTGGCCCTCGGTGCTCACTGCTTACACTGGCAATGACGGTGACACTGCTGCCAACCTCCTCTAAGCCTGAGACAGTCCACTGCCTCTCATTTAGATTACAGAGGCGGCCCAGCAGCCAAAACGCACCTTTGATCCAATTGCAGAGACATCAAAAGAGCGGTGGTTTGAGAAATAGAGAACGCAGGGTGCAGCTTGAGCCAAAGAGCTGTTGTGTCCGAGGTCAAGACAGATGGTGTTGAGTGGGAATTACACCTTACCTCCTTTTTCCTCTTCTTAACTTTGGGCATTTTCCCCTCTTTCATCTTTTTGGGCTTCTTCTTCTTTTGTTGTTTGAGGGAGTCGTTGTCAGAGAAGATGTCGAGGGGTGTGAGGGGAACAGTGTTGCGCTCACCTTCATCATCCTCATCTGGATGCAAAGAAACAAAACAATATCTGATTAGGAACATAGTGTAGCATTCTTTACATGGAGCACTTGTTATGATAAGCTGATGATGTCGAGTTTGAAGACTCCACAGCGAATTCAGCTTGTAATAAGCCTGAATCTTTATATTGAAAAATACAGTTTGGCTTGTATACTTCAGTGCTAAAAAGGATTAGTTGATTTGTCAATTTGTAGTTTAACAAAAAATAAAATCGACTACAATTTTGATTAATAATTAATTATTTACAGGGAACTGTGCTTATTTTTAACCAGCTCTGTGTCATCACAGAGTGTGCAGATGAGCAGTGTTTGGCTTCCCCCTGTGCCGCGAGCACTCCCTGCCTAAGTTTGCCTTTAATTAGTTATATGATGCTATAAAAAAGGAGGGCTGACATCATGATTCAAAACTATGTGTGCCAATCAGTGTGCTCACGATCAATGGTGCTGGTCACAATTCGGTCGGATATGCGTATGGGTGGGAACTCCATACCAGGGAGATTGTTAATGCACAGAGTCTGGCTCCAAATGACGTCACTAATGAAAGATGGCAGTGGCCAGATTCGGGATATTTCTGCTTTATATTTGTACAGTGGGAAGAAGTGGTGACATGTTGTGCATCTTTATATACAGTCTATGATCTGTACACTGCACACACTTGCAGTGACAAAGAGCTGGCTGAAAATCAGAAAAGTTTCCCTTTAAGTTACTTATCAAAGAAATATTTCAATTGATTCTTTGAGTCACTTTAATGCGCCACCTGACCTGGCATCTCGGGAACCTTTAATTAAAGGCAGGTACGCTGAAGTGAGTGTGGAGTGTGGAAGACGCCACAGCGTTACAGTTTTTAATTGCCATGTTTTTTGGTTAATCTTCATTTTTATTGTTCTATGAAATAATTTAATAACCCATTGATTTGATTTCGACCAGTTGACAGACCATAAGCAGCACGCATCCGAGAGGAGACTTCAAAAAATGTTAATATAGTGCGACAAAATGGCAAATGGACAAAGCTTGCTCCAAAACAACAGTGAATCTGAGGTTTGGCTTTCACTTTCAAGTCCTGTATATTCTATCTTTAATAAACAAAATAATCAAAAAGAAAGATACTAATCAATAATAAAATTAATAATTAGCTGCAGGCTCCTGTGAAAGCACAGCAAAGTGAGAAGTCATTTGGCCTGTTTTTGAAAATAAAAATGATGAATCATTGCCAGACCAACAGGAGCACTTGGCAAAATAAACCTCATGATCACACATCATTGAGTGTGGATCAACTTTACCCGTCAAAGCACAAATAGATGGAGTGCCTGCCCTGCTGCTAAATGGCAACTCCCTGGAGGACCACTGAGGTATACTGAGCATATCTTCTGCCTTTAATGCTTGCTGGGACTAAAGCGACCTGCTGCTGGTTGTCAGCTGCACTGTCTCAAAGCTGCTGTGTACAAACGTGCTGACTGCTGAGCGCAGCAGACTTCAGTGATGCCATAGTGGGTCACAGAGGAGTAAGTAAGGAAGAGAGGCAGTCCCAAACAATACATCACTATAAAGAGACACGCAGAGAAATACACGCAGGATGCAACCGCTCCGTAAAGGTCGATCTGATCTCGTTCTCTTTCCCCGACTGTCTTTCTGTCTCTCTCGGTCTATCTATCTGCGTGTCTCCCTCGCGCGCTGCGTCTCATGCAGACAGACTGGAGGGCATGAAATATGCAGCACATGTATCAGAGTCAATCAGCCAACACTAGCCCTGCAGTCTACCACTCCCCTGGGTAGCTGGAGTGAGAAGTTGGGGAGGAGGGATTCCTGTGTAGTAGACACACAAACCTCGCCAACCACTTATCCTCTATTTAGCAAAGCTAGCAGGAGGCACCCCCACGCACACATGCACATACAGTACATACACACCAGTGATTTCAAAGCTTTAATCAGCGGCACTGTCAGACTCATTGTGTTTCCTTTGACCACCAGATTAAGATTTTCACCTCGTTTTTTGGTACTAATTGGGGCTAGCTTGGGCTTTATGTGCCTGATATTTTAAAGCTGCTGACTGACAGCATCTTCCACTGGTTGTAATTATCTGAAATCTACAAATTTTCTTGTTAAAATGCAAGTAATGTTTGAGTTCTGATGCCTCTACACCAGCATTTACAACATTAAAACTCTGCAGAAATCTACACAAATAAATTCTTTGAAGGTGAGTAGCTGTTTAAGGTGGGGGAGCCTTTTCAATGTCACAAAAACTCTGGGTAAGATTCTGTGATTTATCTATCGATGCTTTGCCTCCTCATCCTTCTCTCCGCTTCACACACACATCCACATGCGTCTCCCTCGTCTATTTCTTTCTTTCTTTCTGAATAAAGCCTTGAGTTTATGTATTCAGTATCTCAAACAGGGAGCTCTTTTATGTCTCATGTTAGTCGCCTGCCAGGCAAGCCTTGCATCTCTCCTCAATGCACAGATGATGACATGGCTCAGATGCAGATGGAGACGGCCCTGGATTACACAAAGCGCACAGTCCGTCACTCTGCACTCTTTTTCTTTCAATGAGTAAACTATGACTGACAGGCTGACCACACATCGCTGATTAGATACACCAGATGATGCCGGACTGCGTGTCCCTTGCTCTGTTTTCTGTGCAATAAATCACTCAAACTTGACAGTGGTGATGCAGCGTTACTGATGTAGGTTTAAAAAGTTCAATTATATGCAGCGGATCACACTAAATCCTTTTTAGCCGGGCTAGCAGCATGCTAGGGACGGCATTGTTGGTCTGTTCATCGTTCGGTCCATGACTGTGTTTCAGATTTAAATATCTCTACAACGACTGGGTGTATTCCCGTGAAATTTAATAGAGACATTCATGGTCCCCGTAGGATCAATCCTACTGACTTTGGTGATTCCCTGACTCTCTGTAGCACCACCAGCTGGTCAAAGTTTTCATTTATCCTGTGAAATATGTCATCATCCACTGGATGGATTGGCACATTTTGTACAAACATTCATAGTTCCCATAATTCTTGTTGACTTTGAGATCATCCTAATTGCCAGAAAAAATGTTGGCATTAAACGCTCCTGGAAAATACAGATCTGTTACATCTGCATGTTATTTTGTAGCAGACACACTGAAACTTTACAACAATGCTGTTGTGTGTTTAGATTAAGGCACAAAAAACAGTTGGTTATAGTTAGGAAGAAGATCATGTTTTGGCTTAAAAACCCTGTTTAGGGGGCACAATCACAGCCGAAAAAGCAGCATTGTCTTGGTAAAAAAAATAACTGCTTCTCTGGCCTAAAAAGCAATTGGAAAAACACTGGCGGGCTACAAAACACCCATGTTTGGTGTCCCTGGGCACACAGCAATGACTTGCTATAACACAACCATTTTTGTTGGTCTCAAACAGTACTCTGCACTGGTCTGCAGCTTGGCAGGCATCTCGCCTAGGTAACACGCCATCCACCGTCCCCTCGACCTCACAATAACAAACTAAGCTTATTATTTATGTCATTTTAGAAACGCTGTGGTTTGCAGAAATGTACAAGACCAACAATTTCTTCTGGCGAGTGTCCTGTGATTATCTTATTCTCCTTTTCCTTGATGAGGTTGACATTTGTAGTTTGAAATAAAGATCTCAACAACTGTTGGACAGATTTCCATTAGATTTGGTGCACTCATGGGCCCCATAAGATGAACACTAATAACTTTGATGATCCTCTGACTTTTCCTTCAGCACCATAATTCTTTCATTTTTTCTTATTAGACCAAAACTTTTTTGAACAGTTCATGAACAAATAAAACCATTGCCACAATCTTTAGCTCTACTTTGTGCTAATAAGCAAATGTTAGCACGCTAGCACGCTAAACTCAGATGAACAGACTACAAACATCCGCATGTTAGCATTGTCGTTGTGAACATGTTAGCATTTAGCTCAAAGCACCACTATGCCTACTAAAAAGCCTGTGTCCAGACCATTGAATCCACTCCAAGTTCAAAATGACTTTTTTGTCTGGCATCTTGACATTAAACAGTGGTTTCTGAGTTTAGGTAAGAAACGACCAATGACCAAATGACTGCGAAGGGACTCAATTAGCCAATCAGCGTAACAGGAAGGACTAAAGCTATTGTCAAGCGGTGCATCAAAACCAATAAGGACTACTAACAGCAATGGTGACTGTTATAGAAAAGACAGACGCTTCTATCGAGGATGTTCTAAATTGACATGTCTTCTCAATATTGTACTATACCGTAGGTTTTTTTACTTCCTCCTAAAACCCCGCCAAAACAAGTATGTTGTCCTGGCTATGCATCAGCGTGGACTTAACGAGGGTCTGTAGTGATTAGTTAGAGAAAATCAAATCCCCTCCCACACAGAAATCAAGTGGACGCAATGTCAGATTGAAGATGGGAACAGAGTACAGCAAGTTGACAATTCTGTCTGATATTAGGGAACCTACTACAGCCTCAAAGCTGCAACAGGCTTATTAGAAATCTAACAAAAATATCAAACACATACACAAATGGTCTCCCAGTAATGCACCTCATTTATAGGCCCAACATGTGACAGCAGTGCAGTTGATTGAAAAAAAGATGTCTGTGTTTAACACCTGCATCGCCTTGTAATCTGAACCCTGCCTACAGTAAATGGCCTGTGAAGTCCCCCGAGGGAAGGCCATCAGGGGAATGATAATCTTTCTGCGTGGTGAGTGGACCAGGCCGTGCCAGGTGTTGGAAGAGGGGGGGAAGGTCGCTCAGTCATGTGGCTCAGGGAAGTCTGGCACCGGATTCTGTTAGAAAGAGGACCAAAGCTCCACTTGGCAAACGAGCCTTCTGTAAAGTGTGGACGGATGGCACAGACACCGCTCTGACCTTCCTTCAAGGGCTTGGCCACCGGACTGACCCATTAGAAGGGAGATTCATGAGCGACTCCCAAGTGAGGAAGCTTGAGTTTACTGGAAAGCACATTAGCTCTTTCTCTGTTGGCCCCCGTGTGGAAATGCCCACTTAATGTTGCCCTGCATTGCTCGCCACGAAGGAGGAAACCAGAGCTATAGGTTTTCCTCTGTTCATCGATCAAGTGCTCATAGCCTAGGCCTCAAACGCCTTCAGACAAAGACATCCATGGACTATTATTAGAAAATGTAATCATCAAAGTGATGGAGGGATAAAGACTAAATAGCACCATTAAAATCATATCTATCATGGACAATATATGCACGAGATGATAATGTGTGCAGTATAAAGAAGATATAACAGACCAGAATGCTGCACCGCTTATCTGCAAATACACATTAAAAAAAAAGCATCTTTCATGCTCGAGCCTCGTGCACGCGCAGCAGGAAAAAATGGTGTCAACTTTCACAGTGAGGGATCCAAAAATAGACCCCTTTCCAATTGGGGATAACATTTGTAGGCACACAAAAGCCCATGATAATCTTTCAATTTTAGGGAAGAACAAAACAATTAAAACAGAAAACACAATGGAACAATCTGTGACAGCGTGAGCACCCGGAGTGAAACAAAGGGAATTAGGGCACTTTATGCGCCACAACAAATAAAGGCTGTGATAGGATAGCTTTTAGGGGTCTGAAGCCCCCCTAGGACCAGCTTCGACATTGTTGCGTTTTAATTGCATGGAAGCATCTTGATGCCGGGGAAAAATCTGACCTGGATTCCTGACCTTGTCTGTCACTTTGATGCCTGTTGATGGAGGTCGTAAACTGTCTGAACACTGCTTCCTGTATCGGTGGCATAACAATGGATTTGCAACACTTTATCACGGTCAGAGATGTGATAAAAACAGGAGACGGCAAAGACGTTTACCACTGTTGCAGAGAGTCAATAATATTGTCAGAATGGCGCAAATATCTTAATTTAGCAACAAAAATCTTCTATAAGACATAATAAACACAAATCTGATTTTCAGTACATTTACCCTTTGCTACATAGCGTGTCATTATAATGGATTACAGTGCTAAAGAGCCCCTTTGATATGTTTATAGCCAGCAACAAAAAATACAAATTATATCAAGGCAGACCTAAATCAGTTTCGACTGACACGTGAAAAGGTTTTGATTTTTCAAACTGGATTACTACTCACATATCTTCACTCACCTGCCATAATCAATTGCACCTTTCCTCTCTTATACATGTTTAACCAACTAGAGGGTTATTGGGGACACGCATCAGTGCTCGTGTTCTCCCTCAGGCTATGGCTGGCAGTCATAGATGATGCTTCAACTGCTCAACACTCCTCTCTGTCTTTCCCCTTCCCTCTCTCTGTCTCTCGTTTTCTCTTCATTCTGCACACCAGCCAGTGCGAGCCTGCTGCTATTAATCTGCTTATGAAAAATGTTTTGTGTGAACATATATATATATATATATAGAAAGAGGGTCGAGTGGCAATTTCCAAAAAACCTGTCTTTTGATATAAAATCATGTTTTAGAAACAGATAATAATGATGTGCCGATGATAGGCTGTAAGCAATGCTGTCATTAATGTATCCCCTTTGTTGTGACAGTGGTACAAAATACAGCAGCTTTCAAGGCTCAAGACCTTTATGACAAGCATGAAAAATGAGCAAGACGTGCACCATGGCAACCGTGTTGTGTGAAAATTATTCATTAATTTTCATCATTTTGTCCCTACACATTCGCTGTACCTTTTCAAGAGAAAGCCAATGTATTTGCTCAAACTAGAAATTCATTTAGACCCAAAATTACTCTGTTATGTATTTTTTTTTTGGTAACATATTATCACTTAGCAGCAATTAGAGGCCGGCCTATAGCTGGAGACAACATTGCACTGGCTTTTTTTACACTCTCAACTTTCCTTTGACTCTGTATTGTTTTTTACCATGAGACCTTTCCACATTGTGGTGTGGAAGGAAAGAAGAGGGCAAAGCAGCATCTTTTATGTTGTCCTAAACATCAAAGCATCAAATCATCTGTTGCTCAGAGCGAGCTGCAAGAAAAGAAAGACAAAAATATGAATCTATTGATTGCACTGGCCAAACTGACACCGTGGCACAAAAATGCCTAGGTTACCATGGCTAGCAGAATGCACACAGATTTTTTGATAAAGCCGACTCTTGGCTGCACATGACAGACATCCAAGTTAGCAGTGTAAGTACGTATCAGTTATACCCTTTAGCTAATCCCAACATTGGTTTATCAAATCACCAGAGAAGTCATGGTGCAGCAGATAAGACAATCTAAACTTCATTCTATTAAGAAAATGTCAATTGAGTCAATTCATGGGTCCAGAGTGGTAGATTTAGTGGTATCTATGGAGCGCAGCAGGGATGATGTCTTCTTGTAGGCCGTAAATTAGCATCGTCATGATTCCCTCTCAAAACGCAGATGGGATTTTTCCATTGAGTTTTGGATTATTGCAGAAAATAAACTCTGTGGCAAGCAAAAGTTTATGATAATTACACTTTTTGTTCAGCAAGATAATCTTCACAAATGAACACCACTTTTATGATTAAAGCATAAATGCAATCGCCAGAAGTAAAAACCTAATGTTAAGCTATAAACAAACTACCCTAGGGTTGCATGACTTAACGTCACCACCACAACGACGCCGTGATCGACGTGATGATGTTCTGTAGTCTCATTTAGCCACTTGTTAGCAGCCACCTTTTTTGAGACACTTAAAAACTTTAAAGTTCATGACTGGGGTATTTTCTGACGTATTTTCTGTTGTAGCACTAAACTGGAAAATCTCTTAAGCTTGTGTTAACCACAGACCACATTTCAGGCATCCCACCAAAAACTCATTCAAAACAACCGCTGACTCTATAAAGAGGGAACCAGGAAGTGCAATAATGCTAACTCATTTCCATGTTTTATTGACAGCTATGTTTTTATTCTATATAATCATCTGAAAATAATAAGTGTTGTATTTTTGTTACCTTAACATTAGCCATTTACAGGCCTGATCTACATACAGAGTGGGCCCAGGTCCATGGGAAAGTTGCTCTGTCTTGCAGCAAATTTTTCTGAGTGGCCACTCGCGGTACTGCAATTAAAAAATACCCTCCAGCCCATTGGAAAGATGTCTGCAAGCAAGACCAATTATGACTCTTTGTATTGTGAATTTTTGAGCCATGGTGGTTTTATGTTTGTAAAACTTCAAGCCAACAAAAGCAATTCAAAAATCTGTGATGTCATCCCAACATTAAATCTAGGAGCTGAGCAGGAACTCGTGGACGGGGCCAGCAGGTGAAACACTACTATGCATATTCTTTGGGACACATATCGGAGAAATAAACCCAGAAGCTAGAAAACTTTTTTGGCGTACGTGCCAGGCAAGCAGCTGCACTAGAATGAACAGGCGCCATCTTGGCATCCTGTTTCTTGTTATTATTGAAATCTATGGCGTTTCCTCTTCTCTGAAGTCCACCATGTTGTTTCTACAGTAGCCCAGAATGGACAAATCAAACAATAGCTTTAGATAGCACCATTTGTGTTTTCGTGTCGACCACCAAAGCTTTCCTTTAGGCTTGGAACACAGGTGCAACCTCACTGCTAGATGCCACTATCCTACACACTGGACGTTTAACACTATAACCGGGAATTCCCAAATTAATCAGGTGCACAATTTTTGGGACAGCTCACTGGGTAGACTGACAAACCAACAGCCAAGAGAAAACAAAATGACCACAATGTGGCTGCTCATGGACAGGTCATCAATAAGCAAATCTCACCATCCCCTACGCCTTGATTAGTTTTTAACATTTCAAGGAGTGTAAATATCATGTATACTACAATTGGTTCACTGCCAAGGTTGGTTGACAGATTAATTTTACTGCCACAAGAATTATTGCACAAATTTGGCTTGCGTGAAGCCTCCATGAGAACTGAATGAGCTGCGTGTCAGGAATGTGGGTTACAGTTAATTTCACTTAGTGCACGACCCAGAGCTGAAGGGATGTTGATGACCTAACCGTGGTCATCAACAGTGCACGGGATGGAGGCAAAAAGACACCGAGGCACACTTGATAAGCACTGTTTACTGTAGCCTACACGTGGCTTTCACACCTCTGCGGCCAAGCAGTGCTGGAAAAAAAGAAACATTTAAAGTTGGAGCAGCCTCCTGATATCACAAGTGGAGACAGCATCCTCTACAACAAAACCCAACACGGATGTTGTCGCTGTAGCCTACTTAAAAGCATATGCACACGGTTATTGAGACACATCACAGCACACACTGACACAGCACCGATTCAACTGTCATGGCTCTTTTTAAACAGCTCTCTGAAGCAAACTTGTGTGTTTTAGGAGCCATTCACTTTGTACACGCATGCAGCCTGTGAAAGGAGGAGGTAAAAAAAGACAGCCTACAGAAAGCATGCAGCAGGGTTTTTCATCATGCCCCCAAAATCAGGCTGGATGTGAGGACAGCCGGAGGCAAATCCAAAAACCCCCGTTCCCACCTTTAAGACACTAGGTCGTGCAAAAAATAATAGCATGACTCTGCTTATTGCACCCCACCCCTCCTCCTCCTCCTCTCTGGTCTCAGGAACGCAGGACAAGCCCTTTTCCCCGCATTCAAGGCGTAGCGGCGCAAAATAATCTGAAGGACACCCCGCCTCCCCCCTTTCCCTCACCTGGCATATCGTCTTCAAAATCCATGTCGTCTTGTCCCTCGTCTTCATTACTCAGCGACCCCGGCATCTTTATCTCATAGCCCCCCAAACCCCTTTTAGGCTGAGAATACTGAAAGTTAACCCTCCAGACGCCGCAGCCCAGGCTCTTTCTTCACCCAAAAAAAAAAAAAAAGAAATGTATTCGTCGCTCAGTTACACATGAAAAAAAATAAATAAATAAATTTTATTTTTTTGCAGTGGATCTGGGGCTTTCTCTCCACGAGTGAAAATTATATTATTTTCCACTGATCTCTATCCAGGTCTTCCAGTCTGAAAAATAAGAAAGACAAAAATGGAACACACATGCCCAGATTGTGACGTCTGGTCTGTTGCCATGACGATGCATCCCATAATTTCACCCACAACTAGTTAGTCATGCTCTCTTAGTTACCACTTTAACTAGTAGTGTGCGAAAAGACACACCGTGCGGCAACGCCATGTGCCGCTAATAGGCGGATACACTCCCGCGCCTGTCGCCTGCCCATTTCCTTTTGGAAGTCCGGAGAATTGAGACAGAAACTTCTGCTGCTGCTGCTTTTCCATCTGCACAGCTGCTGCTCCACGATACACTCACTGCCTTTACTCTGAATATGAAGCCAGGCTGCAGGGGGGGGGGGAAACGACACAATTATTCCTCCTGAAACACGCATGTTTATATCAATTAATATTATTTGGGGGTCTAATTTAGATTTTAATTAACGCCTAAATGCAAATGTTGACACAGCCTGACTCTAAATCTGTGTCTTCATGTTGCAAACTTCCACTTTTTCCCAGATGGGGGGAAAAAAAAAAATACACAAGAGCAGCGTGATGACTGCATGCTGAGAGAGGAGTCCTGACTGCCAGTGGTCTAACTGTTGTCAAGGTTACCACAGCTGTAACACAAGATGCCCCACAGAGAGCTCACCACGGAGAGCACACGAGTTTCAACTTGACTTAATGGATCAAAATACAGAAATCAAAGAGCTCAAGTGTCCTGGATGCACATGCTGCAGCAGAGTTTGACTTTTAATTGTTCACTTTTGTTTGATTGTGGTCTCTGTGTTAATTAGAGCAAGTCTAATTGTTTTGTTTCACATTTGTTTACTAGAGTAAACCATGTACTTTTACATTTTATGTTAATATAATTAGCTTTGCTGGCTCTGAGTCCTGTACATAGGGCACCAAAGCAAAACAAAAATAATTTGGTGCAAAAAATAAATAAAATTATTTAGTGCAAAAAATGTTTAAATAAATAATAAAATAATAATTTGGTGAAAAAAATTAATGATAAAATGATCTGGTGCACAATAAATAATAAAATAATTTGGTGAAAAAAATAAATAAAATAATTTGGTACAAAAAAATTTTGATAAAATAATTTGGTGCAAAAAAATATGGTGCAAAAAATAAAAAAATAATTTGGTGCAAAAAAACTCCTAAATATTCCAAAATTGTGCACAATAATTGTATTAATAAAGATCTAAAAACTCAGTGAAGCATACAGTGTTACGTTCTTATTTCTGGTATGTAAAGAACTGCACTTGTATAACGCTTTTATTTCACTCAAAGTACTTTTACACTACATGTTACATTCACCCATTCACACAGTGGTGGCTGACACAGTAACCAGCCACGTGCTCACACACTGAGGGAATACCCATTGAGAGCAATTTGGGGTTCAGTATCTTGTCCAAGGATGCTTAGACATGCAGACTGGAGGTGCCAGTGTACTGATGCCCAGTGAACAAAAATTAAAGCACATTAAAATAATAATAAAATAAAGACAACACAAATTTTCCTTTCTTTTTTCTCATTTTATTTAAAGCTGTATGAAGCTTAATCTTCATCCTCTTCCTCCTCCTCGTCCTGGTTGATCTGGAAGTAGCGCAGCTCGTAGCTCTCCTTGGTGTTGGCCACGACCCGCAGCCAGTCCCTGAGGTTGTTCTTTTTCAGATACTTTTTGGTCAGATACTTCAAGTATCTGCGAAAGATAAAAAGGAAGGGGAAAACAGCGTAGAAATACTGGTCAAAGGCAGGTATTTCTCATCACTTTGAATCTGCCTTATTGAGTTTGCAGGTCTGTGGTCTTTAACGTGATTGGGCAAACAAATGGGTGTGGACTAAATCACGTCAAACACAACTTGTGCAAGTTGAGATAAGTTTGATAATAACCTGTGATAATATGCATTTAGATATAAAACCCTAATTTCATAATAGGGTAGAGAAAGTGCTTTGTATTTGTATTTTGGATTATTGACCACCCAGAGACAACAGACAGGTAATTTTAAATCATAAAAGCAGTTTAAGTATACACAGGTTGAGGCAGTGCTGTGTGTCACCTGCAGAAATGCAGTCTATGTATATTTGAATGAATATGAGGATAAGATGGCAGACACATGCAGAGGTTACAGATGATTACACCAGATATATGAATGGCAACATCTCCCAGTGACTCTTCCCAGTCATAACTTCAAGTGCTCCCTTTGAGAATGGAAGTGGTACAGTCACCCTCTGCTGGTGGTGTTCCTAACTTCCTAACAAAAAGTACTCATGAATTTGTTTATCCTTAAAAAAAAAAAAGCTTATGGAAATTAATGTTCCAGTACATTATTATATGTCACAGTTTGAGTTTGTTGATTGGGGTCACTTCTTGACTTTGATTTTTATGGTATTTTTTTTTATAAATTGTTGACTTGAAAATCTGGATGACTTTTAGGCACTGTTTTTGGTCTGCAAACAAAGTTAGAAGTTTGTCTTAGTCCCGTTTTCCCACTTAACCTTAGTGGTATATACCCATATACATACACCCATGCAGTGTTAAATGGATTTTGTTTGTAGTAGCTCAACAGCAACACCTCTTTCCAAAAAACTGACATTGTGACAGGTCATTGTAGGAAAAGCACAGGTATAAGTAATGAAATTAATTTGCTTGGGTTCCAGGGTTTTAGTATTGTGCATGTTGGCTCACCTTCACACTGGGACACTTCAATACAACAGAGACATTGTCAATGTTGTTAGTAACACCTGTGCTTTTTCTACCGACACAAGTCAAACTGTCAGCTTCGAAAAAAGGCCTGTACACTTTATTTGATTACTGTTCCTTCAGCGTTCAGTGGTTCCTGTTGAAAACATTTTTCAATGCTTAGGCACCACAAAATTCACTTTGGCAATATAGGGCTGGTGGCACAAGCAACAAATGCAACCAAAACTAACTGCAGGGCTAAATACCACTATGAAGGCAAGATCAGAAAATGTCTTGTATTTGGCTAAAGTGACTTTAAAAAAAGGCTGACAGTAAAGGGTGAAGTGACAAAAGACAAAAACCTTTCACATAAACAGTATTTTCCATGCAACTTTTTAAAGTAAGCTCTTATATCTTTAGAAAAACTGACAACATGGGTGCAGCAGAGCCTTCCACCTGGGTTTATCCATATTCTCAAGTACAATCAGCCATTAATAATTACCATCAGTCCATTCACAAATGGGTGCTTTAGTACTGTGATGAGTGTCCCTCACAGTCATTCCCTCACATTGAGACTATTCGGACGGGATTAGTTTTACATGGGCACGTGAGGTAATGTCATTTTACCACAGGACATCGGTAATATTAATGGCCAATTCGCACGGAATAAGAAATATCAGTAAAACTACCACAAGTGGGAGGAGTAAATCCATTCACGCACCGCCGTCCCCTCCTGTTATGTGCGTATGACGTTGCTTACTATGCGTACCACACTCGAACACACTTGAATCGTGTTCAAAAATCTGCGAAAAACCACTTGTAAACAGGATATGACGAAATATGTACACACATATTTATTGCTGGTCTATTCGCACGGGATTAGTATTACCTGAGGTAATTGTCTGGGACCCTTTTACAGAAGGTAAAAGTTGCGGTAATCTTTACTGACATTGTGCGGGAATGTGCGGGAATGCGGGACTAAAATCTCTAGTGATTATTACTTTACCCCACGTACCTATGTAAAACTAATCCTGTCCAAATAGGGCTTAAGAGTTTAAACACCTACAAAGCCTAAACCACATTTTTCTCCATCGATGCAGAAACTCAGGTTTAACCATCTTTATCATATCTATGGTCAAGGCAAAACTGAAATACATTCAGCTGAGGACTTCATGTAATTTTTGAATACATACAATAAAGGCTCAGCTCCTGAACTCCTCATACACAGTAGTGCATGTGGACTGTGAAAGGTGAGGACTCAGAAGACACATTTCAGGTAGAGTATCACTATAATGTGAGAGTAGATATAATAATGGTGGTAGCAGATATAATAATAGAGCAGAATTGGTCCTCTCAGTTATGTTAATTAACATTTTTTGGATGAGTCATCAAACTATCAGCACATTGAAAGAGAATTTACATTTTTAAATGGGATTTTGCATTCTCCTCTCCTTTGCACAAAGATAACCACACCAGGAAGAGATTCTAATTATTCAGCTGCTCCACATCTGTTTTTTTCACAGCCCTGTGCTGAGCAGAGTCACTTCTATATTGGAACATGACCGGGATAGGTAGAAACCCATATTTCAGCCACCGGATATTTCAAAACTGATATAAGCTGCACTGTGTTTTGTACCTCTTTGAGAAGGGAACTTCAGAGTTCACTGCAATTTTACTCTTGCTCCTCTCAATGGACACCACACCGCCGCCAAGACTTCCAGCTTTGCCATTCACCTTGATGCGCTCCTGCAGGAACTGCTCCTGTAAATGTCGAGAGCACAGCAAATCACACACAGCACTGGTTGACACACATAACAAAGAAAAATGTCATTACATATGGTTTCATGTACAGTTAAAGAGTCTCTTACAAGTACTGACAGGTGACACACTGTGGTTGACATCTTGTTTGAGTCACACTGGATTACAGTGTCCTTTATTTATTCCTAACTGAGTGTAACCATCATATCCAATGACTTGAGATTGATCCCGCTGATGTGACAGCAGTGTTTGACACTCAGGGGTTGTGTCTGACAGCTGCTGCACACTGTTTAACAGACAAGAAGTCTCTTATGTCTCAACTGGTCTACTCACAAAGTTGGCAGCATCCATGATGCCATCTTCCACAGGGTGAGTGCAGTCCAGGGTGAACTTCAGGATCTGCTTCTTCCTCTTTCCACCCTGCTTCCTGACCACCTGCTTTTTCTAACACAGAGAGTCAGAGGGTTACTCAAACTCACATAGACAATCATCATATCATGTTTAACTTTAAAACAGCTGAAAGACGCATTAAAATAATTCCTAAAAGTATCATAAGTGATAGGACATCATTTTCCAAGGCTGTACATCACACACTTTGAAGAAACGACCTAGAATATTAGCATTACCGACAGAACTCTACCGCCGATGTTTCACTGCTAGCTACCGTTAGCCATTAGCCAAACGTGGCTTTAGCTCACACAGTAAACAAAGCTAAATAAACGAGGCTAAACCACCCGTTGCTCTTGTATTACTGTTCACTGATTATATACGCTTCAGCGAGAGCAAGGACAAGTCAAAATACATCGTCTAAATGCAGTTTATTCGGTCACTTCACTACTCACAATCGGGGCCATGGCTGACACATTCAGCAAAAAGGAAGGAGCGAAGGTTCACAGGGACTATAATACCCGGCCGCACGATCGAGCGCATCGATTTATCTGGGCTCGATTCAGCCATTCAGTCAGTGACCTAGCTTAAACTTCCATGCTAATTATGCATAACCAGATATTGTTTTAAAGAGCAGACATCGATAAAACCTCTTACAGGGGAGTAAACTGGCGCAGCAACTGTTTGAAGAGGTCAGACTTTATCTAATTTAATGGCCATCTGCTGCCGAATCAGTAAATTGTTAATTAACTGGAAATAAATTAATTTAACTCAAAAATTAAGCTAGCTAGCTTCTCCTTTTAGCTATAATTGTTAGTTAGATGTAGGCTACAGTTGCTTTATTAAGTTAAAATATCAATTACAAGAACATATATCAAACAAACTGTTAATATATATAACTGATATCAAACAACTGAGCCACCTCCATGACCAACAAGCAACGCCAGTCACCGATGAAGACCATGATATGTGGCTAAAAGATCTGGAAACAAGATAAGTGAGTAAGTGGGCCTTGAGTCAAGATTATTTTGTCACTTTTTATTTTATCTCCCTGACTTAACAATGATTTCTAAAATGTGTCTTGCGAAGAAAACACAGATAGTGTACAACACCTCCAATTAATTAATTAAATGATTAATGCTTAGTTTAAGCTGTAGGAAGTCAGCTGAAGATCAGAAAGAAATAAAATTTAAAAAACGTATATTATTATATATTATTTTATTATAGTGTTATTATTATTATCATTATTATTATTATTATTATTATTATTATTATAAATATGGATTTAAATTGGGCCATTCCCCTCAATTAACACCAGATGACATATTTCTGTTCAGTAAACTTCCAAGGAAATTAATTTAAAATTAGTATTTGAAAATTATGGACTACACGTTTTTATAAATGTGCTATCAGAGGGTTTGTGGCCTAAACTCACCTTTATCTGTAAGTCACTTTTTAAAACCTATTTATATATAAAGGCATTCTCCTAACTTTTATTTTATTGATTGTTTTATTTATTTCATATTGTTTTACATTACTTATCTTACTCTTTATCATGTGCAGCTCCTGTTGCCCCATGTTATTTAACTTTTAAACTGTTTTTATTTATTTATCTTTATCATTGTCTATCTTTTTTTTATTTTTGGAAAGCACTTTATGACTTTCTTTTGAAAAGCATTATTGTTATTGTTGTTGAAAAAGTGTATGTCATGATCTCTTGATCATGCAGTTTCACTACATTAAAGGGTTTCATATTTTTGCTGTTTAATTACAGTTAGATAACTTGTATTTTTCTTTAGTATATAGTGTCGTGTGAGTGTTGTTTAATGCAACAAAACAATACCCAGCTTCATTTATGTAGTACTTCTCTAAAACAGGGTTTCCAAAGTGCTAAGAAGGCATTAAAAATAATGCATTATGTGACAAAGTTTTCCTCTTGAAGTGATGCAGCAGATTAAACGATTTGCAGTGTTGTAATTCTCCCCTTCCCTCCTGTCACCCTGCCTTGGGGTCCAAGACGTAACAACAGTGTGTAACATTAGAAATAGGACAACTGTATTTTTAATCTCTATGGCACAGCAATATTAAATGTCCCTTTTGCACTTTGGCAACACTTGAGGGCTGGCATGAGGTGTGTGCTGTCAGCTGCCTGGCGGTGGGACCCCATCAGCCTACTATTGAAGAGTTTCTGCATTGCTGTCATTCCTGCTGGGGGGTAGCTGATAGCACCACTGAAAGGTAAGACAGTGGCTCTCTGTGCTTTCTGTAGACTAGCCTACTGCATTTACAGTAGGATTTGTTGGCTGGATATAATGTTGGTGCCGACAATGTCTTTGATGGTATTTACTTGCCTTCTTTGAACTGTGTGTTGTCACTGAAGTCCAGGGCACTCATTACAGGCCAGACAAGGTAAGAGACAAAGAAATACGCTTGTTTATTCCAATTAATATCTGCATCTCTTGATCAAAGTGTTTCATATGACAGTCAGTCCTAACCTCTCTTATAATAACTGGAATATTTGGGGCATGCTGAAGCTTTTTTGTTCAGTAAGGAGTTGGCTTTTTAAAAACTTGTCAATCAAGTGATACTCACAGTTTGTCATTCTTCACATACTCTGTTGGCAGATGGCCGGAGGAATCTTCACCAACTTTGATAACCTGTGTAACGTGGACTGCACTAATGTCCACCCCCTGGTGTGTCACCTGTGCCATGAGCAGTACCAGTCTCCGTGTTTACTGGACTGTTACCACATCTTCTGTGCCCGCTGCCTGCGAGGCCGGACCAATGACAGCCGTCTCAGCTGCCCCCTCTGTGGGTAAGAGATAGCACTGTGAGGTTGGGCAGGACTAATTTAGGCTGCATATGGATTATCGATCTTGAAAGCAATGGAAAAATATGGAAGCAAATGAGAGACACAAGTATTTGAATTTGTCACTAAATCTGTAACATTGAAATGTAATCACCACTGAACTCATAGAATTATTTAATTTACTCTGAAAGCCATGGGTCTGATTTTTTTTCTTTTGAATTCACCTCTTTGAAATATTATAAAATATTAAATTTCTTAATTTGCAGTTTCAAATGCTGAATTTGAATATTTGCAATTTTCACAAATTCAAAACCAAAAATTCAAGTTTGTGAATTTTAAAAATATAGATTCAGGTTGCTCAAATTCAACTTTTTTTTAAAAAATTTTTTAACTTTAATTTTTAGATCTGAATTTGAGCAACCTGAACCTATTTTTTTTTTCTGAAATTCTGAAACTTTAATTTTTGGATTTGAATTTGTAAACATTAAAAACAAAATCTAATTAAATTTTTTAAAATGCAATTTAAGATATTTAATATTTTAAATATCAAAGAGGTAAATTCAGAGGAAATAAATTCAGATACATGGTTTTAAAAGTAAAATATTTAAATTCTATGGATTCACTGGCGTTGAGATTAATATTGATTAATATCAATATTAAGTATTCAATGGCTGTTAGAATTCAAATAGTTATGTCTCCTATTTGCTTCCATAAAAACCCAAACATATGTTCCTTTTTCTCTACACTCAGATTTCAATGGATGCTTTGCTCTGAAACTTTTTGTCTATTTGAACTTTCCTAAAAACTATGAAGGTCTACTGTAAGTCATGTTTCTGAACTTGAAATAGATGTTGAACATTGTGGTTTGGTGTCTGCATAGGGTATCTGAGGCTGGATATCACACCTATGGTATAAGGCCATAAACCCTCACACACCTGAAAATATGATGATGCTGAGTCGTGAGCAGGTGATCTCAAACGGCTCAAACATGATTAAGCTCTTTAAATTAGTGTAAAATATCATTTTGCCCCTTGAATCCTCTGGAGGGTCAAACGTTTTGTGTGAAAAGCCAAATTTTTCCCACAGGCCCCAGTTTTGGGCAGCGTTGCTCAAAGGGATTCGTTCCACATAAGTTGATTAGTAGATTGGTTTGGTTCGTGCAGGAGATTTGGGGAGAATCCCATTGGTTTCAGAGAGCATCAAGTCTCTCTGTTTTGGTTATAGGGTGCTGCGCAGTGACCCGCTGCTGGCCTGGTCTGGGCAGGGCAGGCCTGAGTGGCTGGAGCAGCTGCAGGGTCATCCCAGTCTGATTTAGTCCTTGGCCCCAGCGCTCAGCGGGGCCAGCAAGTTCCTCTAAGACCAGTCACACAGCAAACAAAGCATAGTGGTATTTGGCACCAGTGCCAGCAGCTTAGGGCAATCAAAAACAGTCACATGATACCAATCCATTTCATCCCCTGTTAAGGAATGACTCGTGGTTTCCAGTCACCTTCAGGTCTGCAGTTTTAACTTTCCCCCATCAAAGCACACAGGGATGTATAGAAAAGGATGTCTACTGCAACATTATTATACCAGGAGTCTTTTCTACTGCGTCTGATACAACCTGACCCAGATTTTTCGATTCCTTTTTGTGTGGATGCAGAGAATCAAACAGTAATAATGAGTTTCGATGTCACTGAATTATTCTCAGCTGTTGGTTTTATGTCCCTTAGACACAGTTTTGTTGATTATTATCTCAGAGGAGACAATGACTCTAATATGCACAATGAAAAACATACACATTAAAGGTCCAGTGTGTAGGATTTTGGGGGGATTTAATGGCAGAAAATGGTATTTAATATAATAAGTGTGTTTAGTTCATAATCACCTGAAAAAAAGTGTAGTGTTTTCTTTACTTAGGAATGAGCCATTTATATCCACATAGGAAGCGGGTCCTCGTCCATTTAGATGAGATGTCGCACCGCTTTGTTTCTACGGTAGCCCATAATGTACAAACCAGACACTGGTTCTAGATAAGGCCATTTGCGTTATAGAGTCAGTCTCCATAGTTGCCCATCCACAACGAGCAGTGTGAGAAAAACACATTTCTTTTAACGTGAAACTGCTTTATTCAGTGTTTTCACTGTTTTAAAACATCAGGTCAGTTTGTTTTGGAAAGGAAGAGATCGCTGCGGATAATAATAAAAATCCTGAACGTCATTCTTTATCAGAGAAAAGAGGTGAGCACACTCTTCTGCAATGAGCCAAACAGCGTCAGAGAAACAACGTAACTGTAACGTGAAACTGCTTTATTCAGTGTTTTACTAGTTCTAATATTGCAGTCTGTTTGCTTTTGAGAGGAAGAGGCCTTTGTGGATAATTCGGCTCCCAGTAAAAACCTCCTGATCAATGAACACTAAGGGAATTCTAAGCAGGTGAAGTTTCAGCTAGTTGCAATCTGCAGTCCTCCCCGCTAGATGCCAGTAAATCCCTCTAAATCTTACACGCTGGACGAGCGAAGAAAAAATTAACTTCAGGCACTCAGGCGTGGAGCAGGAACAGAATTATTTGAATTCAAGTAAAAAGCCATTATCCCAAAACATCGCTGCTTACATTAAAAAAAACAACCGATTTGACCCTAAGATCTTCGTCAGGGTGCAAAACGGTGGACAGGAGTCAAGCAAAACATTGTTATAAGCTTGGTAGGGGGTGTCACCCAATCCTGATTAATAAGAGAGCACAGGTGGGTGACAGCAATGGATTACAACGAGAGGCCATTTTGAAAGTGACACGCCTCCCCAAGTGTCCGAAACTGGTCAGTGTTTTAATGCAAGAAGCCATGTTTTGGAATAAAGGCCTTTTAAATGAATTCAAATGCATTTGTTCCTGCTACATGCATGAGTGCCTTAACTTAAGGCCCTTAAGTTAATATTTTCTTCCCATGTGCTGACCCTTTAAGAGCACCTGCATTTTTTCTTGAGTATCATATGATAAAGACAGTCCTCGAGCACACTTTTACCTCGTTCTCCAAAGGGTGATTTCCTTACGCACTGGACCTTTGAGAAAGAAAATCAACAGGCAATCAGAGACATACAGAGCTCCAGGGATGATGTTTTTCTGTAGGCCAACAAAGAAGTTAGTCTCGCACTGATTCCCTTGTTAAAAAAGCCTACAGGATTTTTCCATTGGATTTTGGATTATTATTTATTATTTGTAGCAAACAAACGTTAAAGGATACTGACGTCTTTTGTTCAGCAAGATAATCTTCACAAACAAACACCACTTTTATGACTTTTTAAAACCTAAAAGCAATCGCCAAAAGTAAAAAACTAACATTAGGCTATAAACTATAACTACACCACTGTCACAAGACTTGGTGTTGCCACCACAGTGAGGCTGTTAAGTTGGGTTCGGCGTGATGATTTAGCCACTTGTTGGCAACCGGCTTTCTTAAGACACATAAAAGCCTCAAAATTCACAAGTTGGGTATTTACAGGGGTATTTTATGTCGTAGGACAAAACATGGAGGTCTCCTAAGCTTGTGTTAACCACAGACCTCAGGCATCAAACAAAAAACTCACTGACTTTGAGACATGGGAAATTGAAGTGCTGAAATGCTAACTGATTTCCGGGTTTTAGGACTTACTCCTGCACTACTCTATAGCCTGCAGATGGTGGACACCCACGGTACACATTACTATACAACACCACCATGTAGTGTTATAAAATAGAAAGATTCACTAATATTAGTCACACTGAGAACTACTTAAAAAACTGAAATCATCCCTGATGAGCTGCTCCTGGGTTCAGATTCCACCTCCTCTTGAAATAGTGTTTCTGCTGAGGCTATATATGTTTGAATTCATAATCACCCACATTCTTTCCACATGTTGACACTATACTATGAGCTAACTGCTGTGAATTAAATATAATTATAAAATTACCTAGGCTAACTACGGCTGAACCTGAGGCAGCTTCCACATTATCTGCCTTATAGCTATTTGATATTAACCTGTGTTGAGGTAGGTAATGGGAACTAGTCAGCTGTATCAGTTGAAGTAAAACCAGCAGCAGTGCTTTTATTCATAGCACAAGGTACTGGAAAAAAAAAATAACATTGGTTTTCTATGGAAATAACCCTGTGGGCTCAGAGCCGCTGTGCTCTGCTGTCTGGGCTCAGACTACAGTGGCCCGCTGCCTGGCAGCTACTATTTCCATCAGCAGCAGCAGTCTGCTAACAGCTGCTCACTCAAGAACCATGTAATCTAGGAATTCACTACTCTGCTATTAGTAGAACACAATAGATCCCCGTTGCTATGAAAACTAGATAAAACATGCACAGCAGACAGGCGAGGAGCATTAGTGTCACTGCAACTGAATCAAAATGAGGCAAACAGCATTATGGTTAAATCAAACAGGCCTGTGTAAATGTGGGTAATATGATAGAGACTGGCCGCTGCATCTGATGCCACAGTCCTGTTGCACCTCAGATTTAAAGGTCACCGTGGCAATTGTTTAACTCTTTGGATTACCAACAGTTGACTCTTCCAAATCGGGATTAGTTGGTTGTGTTTCAACATTCAGGCAGTTCAGGAGTTGAACACATATGAAATGGGGGGATTTGTGCCTATTTTTGCATCACTTTATAATGTAAATGTATAATTTGGTCAATCTAAAAGTCTTCAGCTTCTTTCATGTTTTTTTTTGGCCCACAGACTTGAGTTTGTCACCTCAAGTCTGTGGGCTCCAGTATATGTTGAACCAAATCTGTGAAATCGCTCCTGATAAAAGATTGCCCTGCTCTGAGAGCACCGGACAGGCCTGTGATTCCTTGTGAGGCACGTGATGCCTGTTAAAACTGTTTCTTCATCCAGTTCAGTGGCTCTCAGCCAGAGATCTGGGGACCTCCAGGGGTTGTTGAGGGAGTTCAGTGGGTCCCCAGAAAAATTGGAAATAGTTTATTTTCACTTTTTAATTCACCACAGAAGTGAGCCCAATGTCAGCAAGAGTCATAAGAGTGACAACTCTGATCATAGGTTTCACTTCATCCACAGTTATGTCCCAAACCAGGGGTTGGCAGCCTCTACTATTAAAAGAGCCATTATTGACCAGAAAAAGAAACAAAATCTGTCAGGAGCCGCAAAACATATTTGAGTAAAGGTAACAGCCTGTTAAGTCTAAATTAGCCCATCAACTTTATGAATATGCCTTAATGAGCATTCATTAATATGATTTACTGCAAGGTAGCTGCTCTGCAGTTGGCAACTTATAATTATTTAGTGCTTTAGCTTTACAGCAGAGTGGTTTTGACAGCAAATGAATCTGTCCACACACTATTAAATCCTCTATGATCCTCCAAGACTTCTGCTGTTTTGGAATCCATAGTAAGCCTTGCTATGGAGACACCAGGCAGCCAACAGTACTGAAGTTCAGCAAAATTTAGAGGAAAGGGCACCAGGTCATAGAAGCATGACGCACATTTTAGTTGATGAAACGTTAAAACATTTTTTAATTCAGTGTACAGGCTACACATTTTCACAGCTGTAGAATGCAAAAACCACACAAGGATTATGACAAATGAAAATCTGGATGTTTATGTCAGAGCCACAGGGAGCCAATTGAGAGGGTCCGGTTGTCTACCTCTGTCCCAAACTGTAGATTACAATTGTAGAATTCTGGGGTCTCATTTATAAACATGGCGTGCACACAAAACGAGGCCTGAAAGAGGCGTATTATACTTCCCACACAAAAGTTGTGATCTATGAAAACAGACTTGATGGGAGAAACTTTGACCCATGCTAACAAACATTTTGGAGACAGGAAATTGGCGAAGCAAATGGTGAGGTGAAAGCCTGATTGTAGAAATTGTCGAGTACTTTTTGGCACCTGGCATTTTTGGCTTTTGTCTGTACATATGTTTTCAGTATGGATGCTACGCATTGTTTTATAAATGAGACCCCTGATCTTAATTTGAAATGTAGGTCTGTGACTTTATGTGACTCAATTTACAGGTCCTTAACGAAAATGTTAAAAAATTACTGGTATAGTTAATTAATTATTTGAGAGATAATTAGTCGGCAGCTATTCCGATAGTCAATTATTTCAGTAAAATATAGTTTTCCAAGATAAAAGCATCCTCTGGTTCTGACCTCTCCTGACAAGATTTGCTGCTTCTCTTTGTCATCAACAGAATCTCTCTGAATTTTAGATTGATAAAGATAGGAAGTTGGAAATGCTGCCTTGGGCTGTGGAAAATATTTTTGGCATTTTTCATTATTTTCAAACAATAAAATGATTAATTGATTAACTGATAAAGTAAATATGTAGCCCAAATATATACATTTATACTAAGATGTAGAGATGTGCACAATTAGTTGATCAAACACTGCAACCCTCGCTGGTCAGCACCACAAATGTTAGTCGTTAATGTGGAATGTTCATAATGCACAGTGCAAAATTTTCCCAGACAATGTTTCACCTTACAGATTAAACTGTGCTCAGTTTTGACTGTTCTCTTACTTTCAGACTAGTAGACTGGTTTAAGTTAAGACTTCCATTAAAACATCAGGTAAATTCATCTTTAGGAAAATCCCTTCTTAGATGATCCTGCAGAAACTGTCATTCAAATCTCTAGAAACAAAAAAGCACCCAGACTTGAGAAGAATCTAAATCAATCAGCTTGTGTTTATAGTACAGTATAAATTCTGGCTGTTCCTTGGAGTAATTTCACAGATTAGTGCAGAAAATTACATCTGCCAATTCAAAGATCAGAGCTAAACTATCAATTTAGAAAACAATTTATTTAGATGATGTCATGCTTACAGGTGTATAAAGAGATTAATTTGTCTCGCAGTGCGTGGTCCTCTGAGAGGCAAAAAAATTATAATGTTGAATCAGAGATAACAGAGCGCCATCTTCTGGAATGTCACAAGAATGCAAGAAATGACTAGTTAAAGGATTTCGTCTTTAATAACTGCAACATCAACGTGTTTTACAAATAATGTTTGTCTGTTTAATTTCCCTGTACGTTTAGACAACTTAGAGCTCCTCTCCCTGATTAATATACTGATGAAAACAACCCTTCACCCAGTGTTGAAATAAAAATATATGAAAATGGAAGAAAATATGGAGCGATATAATGAAACTGGGTTTTTGACATGACATTAGTCCATTGTCAGCCCGTTCAGTCCTCTCAGGGGACGCTGGCAGGTCACTGTTCCTCCAGATACCCCTCAGTCTTCATGTCGTTCAGGCCGAGATCTTCATTCTGCTGGAACGTGCGGGTGTACTTCTCAGTGGTCATCTCAGGATCAGGATCCGGAGCGTAGACATTCTGCAAATAGCTGTTCCCTGCCGGGTCGTCCAGGACGAAGTGGACATCCAACTCCCCAGCTATAATCTTGTCGATGTTCTCCCCAAACGCCTTCAGCTTCTCCACCCGATCTGATGTGCCGCTGTCGCCGCAGATGAAGGGGTTTTTGGAGACGATCAGGTCTTTGATGTCTTTCAGCAGACCCTCCAGAGTAGTGAACTTCCCACCCACAGCAGCCATCCCCAGCTCAAAGTTCAGCTCAGGGATGAGGACGGCGCACGTCTCGGACTTCAGCACGTCCCGCGTCATGTCTGAAGGGTCGGTGATGTGCAGGGTGATTTTGGTGCCCTTCTCCTCCGTGGCTCCACCTGACTTCACCTCGTTGGTCCGGTGGCCACAGCTGTCGCAGTTGGTGGCCATGATGATGACCTCCTTGAAGTGAGGGATCTGGACGAGCTTCATGTTGGTGGAGGCCGGCGCATTGCATTCGGGACAGTTGGTGTTGAAGGACAGAACCTCATCTCTCAGGTCCTCTTTGTCGTTGCCAGCCGGTTCCTCTTCAAGGTCATCATCAGCCCTCAGCCCCAGCTTGATGTCCTGCTGGACCGTCCGCTTGAACATGGACACAGTGAGAGCCTCGTCCTTCTGAGGGGCAGATGGGTTTTCCACAAAGCTGTTGCCAGATGGATCCTCGATCACCAGAGTGAATTCATTTTCCACCTCTTTTAACTTCTTCAGCTTCTGGATGAACTCCTCTATCTTGTCAGCCACCTGTGGGTCTGCTGCCCGCCTGGCAGGTTGGTCCTGCTCCAGCCCTGCGACTGCTCGGTCTAACAGGCCCTCCACGGTGGAGAGAGCACCTTTCTGGGTGTATGGAGGGATTTCAAAATCCAGCTCTGGGATCCTGGTAGTCGCACTGTCTGCTTTCACAACCTCTCTGTTCAAGTCTTGTTTTGTTTTGACTTTCAGAGTGTAACAGACCCCCTGGTCCTGGATCCGGCCCGCAGACTGGATCTCAGTGTTGGACCAGCCGCAGTTGGCACAGCTGAAGGAGCTCACGATGATTTCTTTGAAGAAGGGTATTTTGGTCAGAAGTAAACGTGTCATACCGTTCTGGTAGCAGTTCATACACAGACTCTCGATCTCAGTCGGCTGCCAGTCCTCTCCGTCGGCGCTAATATCCTTGAAGAGGCTCTCGCCTCGCACATTTCCCTCCGGAATAACAGACATTTTAAAGCCGGATATGTTTCTCTTCGGTGGACAAACTGCTCACACGCGCACCCGCTCCTCCTTCAGAGCTGAATCTCTCTCGAACTTTCTAGACGACGCCCTGTCCAGCCTCACCTAAAGCACACGTTAGACGTGCTCACCGTGTTTGACAGTCTCTTCCGCGTTCGCCTCTTCTTCTTCTTCTTCTACGGTGGAGGCGTCCTTTACGTCACTGCTGGCCTCCTCAGGTTTTCTGTGGTACTGCAGCCCAAGGATTACTGTCTTAATAGTTTCCTTCCTGCAGATAGGGCAGTCATACTGACGATTTAAATTATTTTTGGGACTATTTCATTCATATCTTGCACCAAGGGCACTTAAGTTAACTAAAATTAAACTGAAAACTACAACTAGGTGTGAATTTTTTTTAGTTATCTGATATAAAATTAAAAACTAGACTTCAGAAGAAAACTTAAACTAACTGAGATAATATTATGCACGTACAATTCTAACTAAAATAAATTAAAAATGTACAGGAATTGTCTCTAGTTTTTGTCAGTCTGGTGAAATTTGTCAACACAACAATCATGAGTAAGCGCTGGTTTATTGAGACTGGGATGCAGGGGTGTAAATATAGACAGCACAGGCAGTGTGGCTGCACTGGGGCCCGTGGGATGGGGGTGGTGGTGGGGACTTGCAGATGATTCAGATTGCCACCTCGCAACTACACCTGTGTTAAAAGAAGAACTCGGATTAAATAAAAAATGGTGCCATTTACTACAGGCTATATGGCCTCAGAAATGCAAACCCATCTCCGTCATGATCTTTTCTTTTCTTTCTTTTTTTGTAAAATAGTCAGTAGCAATCTATAACAAAATTGTATGCTTATTCTACATGAACTAGAGAAACCATGAATAAACTATATATATAAAAAAAAATCAGTAAATGAGTAATTTATTATTTTCTTTGACATTTATTCCTCATATACAGGTATGCAGTAATGATTTTGGGGTAACTTGTATGTTAATGTTGCCTAATGTCAAGTCTCTTTTTGATTATATGACAAGATGATATGATGCAATAACTAGTTTAGGCGCAAAATCTGTCAAGACTGACAAGCTGGGCACATCTGCAAGCGAGAGGTCATGCATTTTAAACATAAAAGCAGCAGTAAGAGAGGCCAATAGAGAAACCAACAGGAGGAAAAAGTAGCAAAGCTCCCTAAACTAGATTTTTTTAGCTTTATAAACAGTTGCCAGTGGTGTGTTTGTGTGTGTGTGTGTGTGTGTGTGTGTGTGCATGCCCGATAACTAGTGACTAGCGTGCACTGAAGCCTGTGGTAACTATCTTATACCACTGCTGGGATGTCTGCATGACTGATTTTACTGTCATGATAAAGTGTTGTGTTTGTATTGTAATACCTATTCTGATCTTCGTAAATCTTGCCCCTGACAAATGCCCCCATATTGTATACTGTATATATGTTTTAAAAACAACCTAAAACTTACGCTAAAAAGAATAAAAACACTAAAACGAAACCTTTTTAAGCAATAAAAATAAAATGAGCAAATTCACCCTGGAAACTAACTGAAACTAAACTGAATAGAAAACAATATTTAAAAGCGAAATAAAAATAAAAACTAATAAAAAAAAATACAGAACTATAACACCTCTGTCCTGCACTGCACTGTGGCTGCACTGAAACTTTTATTTTCCTGCTTTATTCAACTGCAGCTTATTTCTGTCTTCTATTTTATTTTACTCTTTATGGATATGCTATATGTTATTTTGTATTGCCATATGTTTATTTTATCCCTTGTCCTAATGCCTCTTTATATTTCATGTACAGATTATAATTTTGACTTAAAAAAGCAGCATTTATTTTTTAAGCCTCTTCTCTTTCATATCTAGAACATTTTCCATTGTAAGGCTTGATTCAGATTTTAGATAGATTTGCCCAGTTGGTGGAGGGGTGCTGTATTGTGAGATGGATTTCTTCATACTTGAGATAGCTTGTGGTTTTTGTTTGAATTGTTCATGTGAAAATTTAATGTTTCTATTCCATGGATTTTGTCCGCTTCATGTTTTAAATATTGCCAATAGCTTTGTTTTTGTAACTCTGCACGGGAAGAATCTCAGTGTTGTTGGATCAGTGAGGAACACTGTGGTAATCTTACTATTGTATATAGATTTTTGTAGGCGTATTTGTGGGCTGGAATTAATGTTTTCATTTTTTACAGGTGCTCCAATCTGTTGAATCTCTTGACACAACAACTTGCCCTTGTTTAATATTCTTAAAAACACATCTGCTCATCGCTCCTAATTGAAAAAAGTTGAATCTATGATGAGGCTATGAAAGTTTTTCAAAAGTTTATTTACTGGGTGCACTGGGGGTTTCAAGTTTCCTCATCATACTTCTGCTCACAAAGTTGCATATTGAACCACGATAGGCTTCCAATCCAGCTGTGATGTCACATTATCCTGCTGGCATGTACACATGTTACACTCAGATTTAAGGTGACCACATCCTCCAGCAGATGAACGTGAAACCAGTTTATTAGTGTCAAACTCTGCACAGTGAAGCTCAAACATACAAATCAAGTAACAAGATGACAAACAGGTTTCTGAGTGGAGAGCGACTCGTATCACTGTTCTTCTTGTTACTCCACTTTCATTTTGATCAGATAAAACTATTTTAATTATCAACTTGAAGAAAGACACAAAGACCTGCCAGTGCAACTAATCTGGTGATAAATGTCATGATTTTCTCAGAATGTCTGAATGTCTGTCTTCACTACAGTTACCTATCCATACTAAAAGGGAATAGCTTGCTGCCGCCAGAGGACCGCCTGCTGAAGTTCCTGGTCGACAACAATGCAGACGCCGAGGAGACAGTGCAGTGCGCCAACTGTGACCAGGAGAGTAACATAAAGGTACAAACTGACAGACAGTCTCACATAAATATTCAAATTTATTAAGATGAAGGCCACCCAGAAATTGGGCCTTCATTTTAAAACACACTCTTCTCTGTCATAGAAAGTAACTGAACACAGACATGAAATAAATATACACTTATGTTATATGAAAGCTCAGCCAGGACATGTTGGTGACGCTCAATAACACAGAGGAGGAGAAAAAAGAATGAGTCCCAGAAATCATGTTAGACAAGACATCTATCAGACGACTACTGATGATCAATACTGCAGAGAGCACATGAGTCCTGTAGCACCCAGTGATGCAATCATTTCCTAAAGATGCTGAAAATAACACCTGGAAATGTAATAAAAGTTGCACAAGACCTTACTTTAAAATTTAATGAAATCCAACAATGTAATAAAATGTCCTGACTGGTGGGACATTTTTTTTTTCAGATTGATGATACAATAATTGTGACGAACAATGTAATTATATGTAGAAATGTTTGCTTTTTTCTCTGAAATGAAAAGTGTGCAAGTAAAATATTGTTAGTGTCATGTTATCCCACTGAAAACTCTTACAATTTAACAGTGATTTAATGTTTAGCATTGTAAGCTCAGGCTTTATATAAGATCCCTAATTTATAACAGATGGCAAATGGTACATTGTTATCAGACAAAGATGCATTAAGCTAAAATACCCTGCTGATTGCTCCTTATGCAAGTACTGTCCATTAGACCAGAGTGATCTAAGATAGTGGATCTAAGATAAGATACCATTAGAGGATGACAGGATGGCTAACCTCACACAAGAGAAGCAAGCGATGATGGCAGAGCAGTTGATTCATCTCCATGAAATGTTCTTTTGCATCTGAGTCAACAGTGATTGTTAATAAACCAAGTATCTCCTTTACTTTGCCTAATCTTGTGGAATTGAAAGGGGTTACAATTTCAAATGAAGTACACTTAAGTACATTTAAAAGTAGAAACTTTTTGACTTTGGCTCAGTTGCAGCCCCACAGATTATGATGAGGAATCATGGATTTTCTAGTTTTAAAGGAGGTCCTGACCTTAAAAATGTTATTACAGTATCAGTCAGGACATTTTATTACATTATTGATCAACTTTTTATTAGATTTTATTACATTTTCAATCAAGTTAAGTGCAACTTTTATTACATTTTTAGGAAATTATTAGAACACTGGGTGCTTTGGTCCTGTATAGCTTTATGTCTGAGGATATAAGAAAGAAACAAAAGGTTAAACAGGGATGAATCCAGCATTTTGTGGACAGAACCTCGACTTTTTACTGAAGAGGAGAGTTTGTATGTGACTCTTAACTCTGATGTCTTTCATCAAAGGTCCAGTGTGTAATATGTAATATAACAACTTAGTATTTTTTAGCGTATAATCACCTGAAAATGAGAACAGTTGAATTTTCCTTACCTTAGAATGAGCAGTTTCTCCGTGGGGACTGGATCCCTGTGTATGGAGATCGCCATGGTTTTACAGGAGCCCACAGCGGACAAACAGAACACTAGCTCTAGATAGGGCCATTTGTGTTTTCACATTTTTGCATTTTCTCGTCAGCCACCATGGTTAGAAGCCCATCTGCAATGAGCACCCTATAAAAAACACTGGCAATGTGAAACTGCTTTTTGAAGTGTTTAAATCATCAGCTCCGTTTGTTTTGGGGAGGAAGAGACCTCTGTGGAGAATTCAGCTCCCGGTGAAAACCTCCTGAATGTCTACATCTTAAGTTATCAGAGAAAAAAGGTGAGCACATGTTAAAATGTGGCGGACGAGCCACCTGTCTTGGACATGCGAAACAGCATCAGCTTTGTTTGTTTTGGGGAGGAAGAGACATTTGCGGATAATTCAGCCCCTGGTAAAAACCTCCTACACAATAAACACTGAAGGAATTCTAACCAGGAGAAGTTTCAGCTGGTTGAAATCTGCTGTCTTTACTGCCTGATGCCACTAAATCCCCCTAAATCTTACACACTGGACCTTTAAGGCAAAGAAGTGTACATATCTGACACCTGAAGACACTATTGCAGCTAGATTCTGTAATTTGGGATGTTAACACCACTATGTGTGGACTGTTTTGTGTTCAAAACAGTTTTCAGATTATAGCAACTATTTGTTTGTAAAGAAATGAGACAATCCTGGTGAACAGTCTTCGTATTTGTGCTACTGCAGTGTCTTCTATTGTACTACCACAAGGGGGAGCCAGAGGAAAAATTTAAAATTGCACTCATAATAGCTTATAGACAGGCATAATTTTCATCGCATATTAAACAATATGAGCATCTCTCCACATTCCCTCTCAGTTGCTTTTCTTCTTTGTTTCTTGTCTTCACACAGGACGCAGGGGTGATGTACTTCTGTAACACTTGCAGCCAGCCACTTTGCAGCACCTGCAGGGAGTTGACTCACAAGGCCAGGATGTTTTCCCACCATGAGATTGTGTCCCTGGCCAAACGCACCCGAGCCAAACACAGGAAGTGCTGTGAGTGCCACCTGTAATTTACTCCAGAAGAATAACAGGCCAACAAGGCTTTATCACACCGGTGTAGAAACATGTTGCTCATGAGAAATGTCGTCCCTCTTGTGCTCTGCTTGAATTTCCAATGTAGTTTAAAAGACATGATGTTAACTCTTGATGGTAGACTCATCAGCCAACCTGTGTTTGTACTCTGACACCTCTGTTATATGTGTAAAAAATCAGAATACTTTAACTCCAGCACTCCTGTGGGCCGAGGTTAAAAGGCGTCTTTGTCTCCGCAGCTCTCCACGAGGAGCCCTACATCCTGTTCTCAACGGAGAATAAGTCTATGCTTTGCATCAAATGCTTCAGAGACATGCAAGTGTGAGTGAATCCGCCACACAAAATGTATAACTGTAAGAAGTTCTCCTCTTTTTTCTCGCACATTGAACGAGGTGTTGTTTGTTTACCACAGGGAGAGTCGGACTCACTGCATTGATATTGAAACAGCTTACGTGCAGGGGTGTGAGATGTTGGACCAGGCTGTGCTGGTGAGAGAGTCGTGTCTGTTCATGTACACATTTGGCATAATGAATAATTCAGGCACTCAGCGGTGGTGATGATATTGTGAGATGTGGTGCAGGTGTACTCAGAATGTGTGTCGCTCATTACAATGCAATTTGAATATATAAACATATAAATGAGGACTATTTTTTAGCAAGATTTTGAGCATTGCTGAAAGAACGAGGGTCAAAACCAAAAGGTTTTTACTGTAATTTCACAGCTCATGTTAGTTTTGCACCACTGCGTGTGGTTATCAAAACCTTAGAGAAGTTTTTAATAATGAAATAGGCAGTGTTAAAATAATAGAATCTCCACTGCAATGAGATTGAGTTAATGTATTTATACTGCAAATTGGCCTCAGCTATACTCGCATGTATCAGCTTGAAGTTGTGATAAAGCCTCTGATGACAAATGTGTTGCGCTCCAGTAGCCTACGTGGCCCTTTTCCTGACAGTGAGCCTCCTCCTCCTCCATCTGTAGGTGGTGAAGGAGCTGCAGACTTCAGCTCGGGAGGCGATTGTTCTGCTGAGAGCGATGATCGGAGAAGTGTGCCTGAATGTGGAGGAAGAGGAGAGTGCAATCTGTACTCTGTTCAACAGCTTGCAGGTTATGTAATGATCCTGATGTGATAGATTTTATCAACTGTTGTTGTTGTTTTATCCATTATCGCTCATTGGAAAGAGGAACTCCTGCACGCTGACTTACTGAAACCACAGATTTCTTTAAATGGACAATGTTGGGACTGATCTTTGTCAGGTTGAAATGTTTAAAAATAATCTCCACACACATATATTGTAGCACTAAAGAACAGTCTCAAGACCACTTTTTGAAGGCCTTATCTCAAACCTGATGTCATTTTTACTAGTTCCTGTCTCAATCTCAGACAAAGAGGACTTGAGCTTTTATTTTGAGACTGGCCAAGACCACAGCTGTGAGACTATCACCAAATTGCCTGTGCACAAAAAGGCATATTGAATAAAATTAAGTTGATTTTAGCTCATTATTGTTTGCTTGTGTGTGTTTGCTCATAGAAAACAAAGGAAAAGTCCCACACATAATATTCACCTCAGTAATGCCATCCTGTTTTATCAAGACATGCAATAAAAATGGCAATTAAAGAGGTGAATAAACAGGAATCTTCGTTTGTTTTCTGTGAGCGTTTTTATGGGAATGTGGACCTTTCAGATTAGTTTGCATGTTCTACATTTTATCGTTTATGTAATGCAGTGTGGGACTCTCACTGATCTGGGCTTGGTCTCAACTTGGCCTCAACCCCTTAAACTCTTGGTCTTGGTTTCGATACACTCTGGTTCTGGTCTTGACTTGGTCTCTGTTTAGGTGGTCTTGACTACAACACTGCAGTCTAAACTCAGTACCCCATAATGGCAAAGTGAGAACAGGATTTTAGACATTTTTGCAAGTTGCTTGAAATATAGCTCAGGTGCCTCCCGTCTGTCTTGATTATCTTTGAGATGTTTTTACACCTTCACTTGAGTCCACCTGTGGTAAATCCAGTTGAATGGACATAATTTAGAAAGGTAATCACACCTGTCTATTCAAGGTCTTACACCTGACAGTGCACATCAGAGCAAAAACCAAGCCATGAGGTCGAAGGATCAAAACGTTGTCCATTTAAATACATTTGTTCCAATAACTTTGCATCTAACTGTGATGCATATACAATACAACTATGCGCCTTCTAATGTCTTTTAAAGGAATACCTCACTCCCACAAAATGATCATTTGTATATCAACTACTCACCCTGTGTTACATTGAATTCATGAAGACAACTTAGTTTTTCTCATATGCCTCCATGGTGAACAGAGAATCCAAAAATTCTTGATGAATTTGTGTAAATAGGGTCCTTGTTTAACAAAACAACAACAAGTGCAATCATTCTTGCTTAAACCTTACTATTTAAAATACTTCCACATACAAGTAGCGTGCATGGTCAAGCACACCTATGTGGCCAGGCATGCTGCTTGTTTTATGAGGAAGTGTTTTAAATAGTAATGTTTGAGCGAAAGTGCTTGTAATTGGGAGGAAGTGAGCATACCGCTGAATAAATGAGGCTTGTATTGTACTGCAAGAGTTGTGTTTGACTTTGAAAATGCATGTTTTAATGTAGTTTTGCTGTTGCTAAACACTGTCCACATTTACTACAATTTTAAAAAGAAATTTCTCAGTTTTTGGATTCTTCGTTCACCGTGGAAGCATGCAGGAGAAACAGAGATTTAAGATAACACAGGATGAGTATTTGAAATACAAATGATCATTTTGTGGGTGAAGTGTTCCTTTTATGTTTCCCCTAATATTAAAAGAATTAACATAAGTTCAAACGAGTGAAGTTTAATTTGCATATGGACTTTTAACTGACAGCCTCTTGGTATAAATACCAAATTATTAGATTTCAGGTTTGTTTATTAAGAGTAAGTTAAAATGTTAGTCACAGAAAAGTGGACAAAAGTAACATCTTTCATCATCTACAAAGTAATTATTGACCCAAAATTAGAAATTAGACTCTCATAGTCTTTGACCTCAGTCTGAAATTAGGATGAAGTATGCTGCTCCATCTGAGACCATTAACAGTGCTCGGCCACTGGAGGTCTCTGTTACCCTAATTGTGAGTAAAGAGTTTATTTTCTTTGCATAATGAACAATCAAAGAGAGCAGACACCACACTGTGGATTTTACACCTCTTTTTCCCCCACAATCTTGAAAATTCATTAGGTATTAAAGAGCTGGAGGCCATTTTCACAGCAGTGTAAGAAATAAAAGGGGCTGTTTTCTCTGTTCTCATCTGACAGGAAAAACTAGCAGAGAGGAAGAAGATCCTGCTGAAAGCAGCTCAGAGGTAAAATAAAATATATAAAGATTTACAGTTCTTACGTGAGAATGCTCTTTTGTTGCCTCAAAGCTCCTGTCACAATATTTACCTAATTGAATGCTATTATCCCGCTGTCACCAGGTCACTTGATAGTTTCTCCATTGTACCACGCTGCATTGTAGTCAGGGTGATGAATAGCAGCACCCTGTTTGCTCTGGAATAATCTCTCTCCTCACCAAACACATTTTCTTGGGTGATTTTCTTTTCAACAAAGCATGGTACTGAATTAAAACCACCTCAGTGGGATTACAAATTTAAAGCCAGTGGTTGCAGCTTGTGCCTGGGTCCAATCAATGGGAATGTAGCCAACTGAAAAGTATTGGTATACAAATACACAGTGTGTGAATTATAGACTTTTTAAAATCCATAATATCAATAAATGCTGCAGAAAAACCTGGATGAGATTTCCTCCACCTTAAATAAAAATATCACCTTAAACACCTGCTATCTGTACGAGTGAAATGTGTGTTGCAGCACCTTTAAAGTGATGTTGAGCCTTTGTCAGCGCAGCATATCGTCCTAAGAAAAGGATCATAACTTTTTTCCATTTGTGGCAGTGTGCCGCGATGCTACTTACTTTGCTTGTTTGTGCAGAAATGAAACTATAAAGTGAAACAAATTAAGAAATAACTTTGCAAAAACATGACAGCCTCCTGAACGATTAATTTAGCCTTAACTCACAAGTATCATGCCACTAATAATTAAAAATCTTACAACATCCCCACCGCGATCATTAATGTTTGATTTAATGTCATCCAGGGTTTGCAACTAATTAGTCTCAAAGATCAAATTATAGAACATCAGTCAAATTGTATGTAAGATTAATGACTAATCACTGATAGAGATGGTATATAAAAACATACGCAGACATAAAAAGTGAGTTTCATTTGCACCCTCCCATTTCCAATTTCCACATGAAAAAAACTGAATGATATCTGAGCACTTTGCTTTTCCAGAGTGTGCTCCATGTGCATGTACATGTGATTGAATGAGAACAATTTTGTGCATGTGAGTGAGTGAGTGTATCGGGTTGCACTCTGCGGGGATCTTTAATGAGATTTTTTGTGTCCTCCATCTCTCTCTCCCTCTCTCCCTACATTGCCTGGAAGCCGTCCAGTGGCTGGGTTCCCGGAAGGGTGTTAAAGGCTATTTATGTCAGGCTTTGTGTGCCCGGCCTTGCGTCTGTGCATGTGTGTTTGTTACAGAAAGAGAAGACAGATAGATTAGCTTCTGGAAATATGGAGGATGTTGTTTGTGGTTGCACCATCTGAGCTGAATCCTCTGAGTATTTCGGCAGGCACAGATGTGAAGGTGTAGCATTACATGTGTGTGTGTGTGTGTGTGTGTGTGTGTGTGTGTGTGTATTTGCAGTCAACACGAGGAGAAGGAGAAAGCACTAAAGGAGCAGCTCTCACACCTTACTGCCCTCCTTCCAACCCTCCAGGTAGAGTAAGATAAATCACACAATAAATCTTGGTGGTCGTGGGGGATTAATGGGGCATTAAAGAAGACAAAACAAAGTTCTGATAAACAAATTTGTGTTTGGTGTTTGGACTTTTCTTTAATCAGTACTTTTTTTGTGAAATATTCATAATAATTAAACCTTGAACTGTTATTTTAATTAAACCAATTCAAAACATCTTAATATGAAAAGTAACCTCAGTATTTGGGGTTCAAGTACCTGAAAACTGTACCTGAGAAAGTGTAGTTCCTTTCCACTGGTGCCTCAGTTCTCTACTTGTATGAATAGAATAGCTCATGCCACAACCAAAAATGCATTTTTTCCCCTCTTACCTGTAGTGCTGTTTATCAGTGCAGGTTGTTTTGGTGTGAGTTGTCTAGTGTTGGAGATATCAATAGCAATGTCTTATTCCAGAAATCATGACCGGGTTACTCAAGATAATCCACAGACCTTGTTGTGAGCAGTTTCATGTAGGAACTATTTTATGTCTACTGAACTACACCCACCAATTGTATCACTTTGCAAAAGGAAGCGTGCATCTACTGCTAACTCACCTAGCAACACTGAGCTAGCTACAGCTCAGCCGAGGAGGACGCCATTAATGTTTACATCTTGCACTGTCTCCAGCATGAGCCTCTCGTCCATGGCTGAATCCAAATGTCCACCCTCTGGACGTGCAGACTGAGTAGAGACTGCAAGCTGCTGATGGACAGCCCTCGAGACCGTTTTACCCATTGCTGTGAAACGTTCAACTATTGCTACTGTCATATTCATATATGTCATATAAGTTGACAAATAGTGCCTACTCATCTGTCCCTGCAGATTACAAGATATAAATCCCATGTTGAAAAACCCACAACCTCATGCCCGTATTGCAATGAATTGTAAGTTATTAAATCAGTGAAGTCTGCTGAAGTCTCCACCCCAAGCGGACTCTCTGGAAGTCTGCAGATAGTCTACTTGAGGCCCCTTGTGGACTGGATGAATTGTAGCTTTGGAAAGCCCTAAGTACTCCCAGACTTCCTGGGAATACGCCCACAAAGTCCACGAGTCTGCAAGTGCGGTGAAGTGTGGACATTTGGATTCAGCCCATGAGTAGATGCACACTTCCTTCTGTGCAGTGATACCTTTGGTGGATGTGATTTGATAGAAAGAAAATAGTTCCTACATGAAACTGCTCACAACAAGGTCTGTGGATTATCTTGAGTAACTGGGTCATGATTTCTGGAGAGAGACATTGCTGTGGAGTTTTTCAAATGTGCTTTTTTGGTGCTTTGAGCACTACAGGCCGAGTGCCATCTAGTTCCATTATACTGGAGAGAAGGCAGACATCTCTACTGCTGATATCTTCAACACTCAGCAACTCACACCAAAATGATCTAGACTGATAAGTAGCACTACAGGTAAGAGGAAAAATATGTATTTTTGATTGAAGGGAGAACTGTCCCTTTAATAACACTTAGTCTTAGTTTTAGTGTCTCATATTCCAGCTCCAGCTAGTTTGAACTCTAACCTTTAATCTGATGTTTTTAGGTTCACCTCGTCACCTGTTCGGCCTTCCTCAGCTCAGCCAACAAGTTTGAGTTTTTGGACATGGGCTATGTGAGTACAGCATCATAAACTATGAGCTGTGTTTTATTGTTATTGCATTTCATGAGAATTTGATGACACATGAATATAGAGTTACAGTGCAGCAGTACAAGACATAATGTGGGTAACAGTGAAGGAGTGGGTAGGGGAGGGGGAAGTCAATACATAACCCAAGAAGTTTTTTAAAAAAGTGAATACAAACAGATATACAGATTAAAGAAAGAAACATGGACGATTCACTGTATGTTTGTGATGTGCTACGATGGTTGACACATTATCAGTAATATAAAACCACCCTGTTTACTGTTACAAAAAGTTTAAAGGTTATTCTAAAGAAGTTTCCTTGGTGAGTAACAGTATTGGCTGGACTGAACTGGTCTTTAAACGGAGGTTGTCCATAATGTCTCATCGAGGTGAAACAGGTCACTGAATCACAACCGGATGTTCTTGCTTACACAGCAGCTCATGGAGAGGCTGAAGAGGATTGTAAAGCTCCCTCATCGACTGAAACCAGTGCAGAGCAGCAAAGTGAGTAGGAAATGCCTTCACGCAGATCTGGAAAAGGTTACATTCAGAATGTAATCCACTGCAGTGTACTGATTAGTTGTTTCACTTGTTCCCAGTGCAGTTTCACCTCTCTCTCTCCTCCGTGGCCCTGAAGCCCAGAACCAATTTTTCTTGTGAGAAAGTTGAGTTCGGTGCCTTCTAATGGGAGCTTTAGTCACTTATTCATTTATTTATCAGGGACAAGGAGGTGCTGTGGAACAGGACACATTAGTTAACTTCAGTATGATATAAATTTGGCACATTTAGCCAAAAGGCTGTTTTAATCTGCAGACAAAACAACGTCAAAGCAAACCTAGTAAAACCCATTAGAACAAACACATACAAGCATGCATGACAATCAGATCTTTACCATAACATGCAAGAATAAATATCTAAAATGACCACAAGGCTATATCTTTACAAGCATAAAGTAAGCTTGACTTATGAAAAGATAGCAGAAATCTATAACAGCCAGCAAACCCTCATCAAAAATGACACACAAGTGTGAAAGTTCATTCTTTACCTTGAAGGCAAAGACCTGAAGGTCCTCAGAAACCAAACGTCTGACTAAAGCTCCAGGAAAAAATCTCGTGAAAGGACCTTGAGTAAAGATTTTTTTGTCAAATATTGTCACTGCTGCAGTTATTTTTATTCCCCACAAAAATTACTGAAATATTTTATGAACTGAGATTAGGTTAATTCTGTATTCATCATACAAAACAATAGTAATCAGAAACTAAAACTGATTGTTACAAATTCATGTATAAACAAACTAAAAACAGTCATTTACATAATAAGGTGTTGAATCATCACAACCCTTCAGAAATACTGCAGTGCTCCTTGACTGACTCCGAGACACATCTCTACCAAAAGATATATTTATGCTTGTTGCCTCTCAACCCGCCTCAAGGCTGCAACAAAGGAGACAGGACCACACATGACTTGGGAATAAAAATAAATCATTTGACATAACTTAAATGGAAATGAGTGTAATGATAAACTTAATGTAAGAAACCAAACAATGTTGAAGCCGGGAGAGAGAAAGGGTTTATTCCAATACCTCTCCTCTACTCCTCTATCCACTGTCCTCGATCCCTTCACCCACCATTTTGAAGGACATCCCAGTTCCTTAAATGCACTCAGAGGTGTCAAGGACAGAGGAGGCTTTCAGAGAGGAGGAAAATGAGGATACATGAGTGCAGCCTTTGCAAAATCTTTTACCGACTTGGATGCTGCCGCTGATTGGACTGATCTGATACATCACAACATCAGTAAAGTTTCATACAGGAAGGAAGACAGACAACTGATTAAACTCAAGTGTATCTCTCCCAAGTTATATATATATATTTTTTTTCTGATTCATAATCTAGTTAAAGTCTGAAAAAGAAAAGAATCTTCATTTATTAGAAAGATTTTTCTTTTTAGGATCTGTTATTTCCCTCATTCACTTTTATTATAGAGACAGTTGAAGTCAAAGGAAGTCCGTAGCAAGACACGTTTTACATCTTCATTTCCATTCAGTCACACGTGAGGCTGATTATTCCTGAGCGTCACGTTTGATGAGTTACAGGATTTCAATTTTCCTGGAAACATTAGGCTAATAAATAATTTCCAGTCTTCAAAAGACACCATGATCATATTCTGGGTTAATAAATAATGAATTCACAATCTGAATATCAGTAAGAGACGCAAGTGAAGGAAACGTGGATGCAAGATAAGGTGTTGGGATGAACCCAAAGACTGGCTGGCTGCCACCTGCTTGTAATCTTGCAGTTTGCCCAGGTGAGTTGAATCTCTCTGATGGCCCGACTCCACCTACAAGGCTCCTTGAGGTCAAGGTTGTCACACCCCCGTCATAAAAAACTAATTAAAACATGACCTCAGGAACTCAACATAACCCATTAACAATTACAGTTGGCATTCCACACTGAATCTCCTTGTCATTAGTCCCTTAAACACAAAGGCTGATGCAATACACAAATATGTGAGTTTATTGTTGCCTTAAGACAGGCTGTGGCACTTGTGTCCATCTTGGCACTATTGGAAATCATCACCAAAAATGTCCAATACAGATAAGACTGGTGGACTTTGTAGGCCAACAACATACTGTATGACATGCATTTTCATACTCATAAAATCATTCAGTGGCCCCTCAAGCTTTCCCTTTTATTTTCCATCTGTGCACAAAAATGTCACAGATGAAGAGAGGAAATTAAATTACGGGAAAACATTGTAGAAGTATTAAGACCTTAGAAAATACTTGACCTACAGTGGAAACAAGTGCAGTTCTGGTAGTGGGGGGGCTGTTAATGGTGGAGTACTCTTAACACACCCATGTTTTCAAGCAGTAAGTATTATTTTTCGACATTTTAGAATTATTCATTCATGACATTGGGTGAGAGGCAGGGTACACCCTGGACAAGTCACCAGACTATCATAGGGCTTTCACATAGAGACAGACAACCATTCACACATACGGACAATTTAGAGGCTGTCAATCTATAATACAGAGTGTTATGCAGCGTGGAATCAGTGCATGGTGCAGTTGTTTTTCTGTTCAGCTTAAAGCTTAACTTGATAGACTGCTATATATCTGCTCAAAGACTGGGGGTCAAACTTTTGAGTCAAGTTTTCAAGCTGCGTGTACTAAGAGACTGTTGTCTCCGGCTGGTAATATTACATCAGACCCCTGTCACATTTTATTTGAAGAATATCAGCTTTGGCCATCACACGGATGATTCGTAGTCCCACAGGCTCGATTGAACAGGCTGAGGAATTCTTTTGTTCCTCAGTCTGTCAAACTATTAAATCAGAGTGTGGCTTCTAAGCGGGCTCAGTGTACCTGGGTCGAACACTGAATGTAATAGTAGGTGCACAGAGGGCACCCTGAAAGTCGAAGATTCGAGTAATCAGTCAGAGACCCTCTGTCGACTGAGATTTTTCAAGTCGAGTAGTCGTTTGCTTGTTTGGTTATTTGTCAGTTAGTGTGCAGTGCAGTACTTCTGGAGATGTTTCAGTCCCTAGATTTACTGAAGCTGCAGAGTGAGCACTTCTCGCTTTCACTCTGCTCTCTGGTACAGGCAGCTGCAGACCCAGACCCGGGGTGAGTCTGCATGAGGCAGAGACAGCTGAGTGCAGGAAGAGAGGCTTTGCCCAGTCAGGCTCTAAAATAACATTATCTTCTCCCTTCTGCTAAGAAATTTTGAATTTATAGCTCACAGCAACTTAATATGAGAGTCTTGGCAAAATTGTTGTTGCTCATTTCCAATCTGTCATTAGCATAGGTTGCACGCATTAGCTTGGAGGGCTAACTTGACTTATTAAATATATTACATGAACGTCGCTGTCACCCAGGTCCAGTATGTAGGTTTTGTTTTTTTTTTAGCATATAATCACCTGAAAATAAGAATTATCATGTTTTTGTTACCTTAGAATGAGACATTTATATCTACATAGGGAGCAGGTCCTCGTCTCTGGAGATTGCCATGTTACACTGCCATGTTTCTACAGTAGCCCAGAACAGACAAACAAGTCGACCACTGTAGTTAGTAGCCCTTCTGCGATGGGAGCGTCAGAAAAACACACATATTTTTAATGTGACTTTGCTTAATTCAGTGTTTTAGTTTAATCACTGGGTCCGTTTGTTTTGGAGAGGAGGACACCTCTGCGGATAATTCCGTTTCCATTAAAACCTCCTGAACAAAGAACACTGATGGAATCCTAGTTTTAGCTGGTTGTAATCCTCCCTAAATCTTACTCATTGGACCTTTAATTCTTAAAGAACAAATTTTTATGTATGTGTAACAGTTGACATCTTGGGACACAAGACAAATTTAAGAATTTTCTCTCATTATAAAGTGAAATCAAATAAGATCAAATGTGTTTCTGCATGGTTCTTAATAAAATCAGTACAATTGGTAAAGTAGTGTTTTCTGTTTTCTTTTTAACTTTATTTATTTTCCTTCTAAATGATGATGATAAGAATAATAATCATAATTGCTGTTGTTATTATATTTCTTTGGTTTCTATTTTTACTAATACATTGTAGGGTTAACTGTGGGAATGGATCTTCTTTGTCTCTTTCTTTCTTTCATTCTTTCTTTCATCCTATTTATTTGGTTCAGTTTGGAGTGTTTTTTTGTTTTGTTTTTCATATAAACACAAAAGAATAATGTGGCAGAAATACCTGCACATAATTTATTTCAAACTCATTAACTGACTTTATCTCTGTCTTCCATTAGATCAACACAGACTACAGGAATGAGTTTGCTCGCTGTCTGGAGCCCTTGCTGATGCTGGCTCAGCGCTGCCCTCCTTCTATTGCTGGATCCATAAGTGTCGCAGCAAGGTGAGATCATTTATGCCAACTATCCTTCAAATACAAACACTATATTATCCCTTACTCTGGGTTTTTATTTCACAATGTGCTTCCACTAGCTGAGTTTTACTGTGGCATCTTTTGGATTCTTCCGAGAAAGCAAAAAGTCTGGGCCGAAAATTTCACACTTGTGAAGAATCCAAACTCAAAATCCCCAAATGGTTTTGCGAGTACAGATGGTAGACAGTGATGACTGCAGCGAGAGGAAAGGAGGCGCCACGCTGAGTCCCACTATGGCAGACATTCTGTCTATCTGTAAGCTCTGTGCACTGATATGTTTACGTAACTCACCTTGTTGCATGGGGGCAGGGAAGGAGGCAGTGGATCCTGTTTTTCCGAGCCCTGGTTTTTCCGCAGCCGGGCCTCAGACACAGCAGATGACATGTTAAGATGGGAGACTGAGTGTGGTGCTACGTTAGGACAGTTCCTAGAAGGGGACATTTTGATGTACTTAGAAATCAAGTGTTACTGCTGAAAAAATCAAAATCTAAGAATCCTTTCACAATGCCATATAGTCTTTTAACTTCATAGATTCCTTTGCCAGTTCCATCAAATCATCAGTAATCACAACCTTTATTTAAACGCCTATTGCTGCCACTCAGTCCTGTCCATTTGCCTGTGCTTCACGTCCCTCCACGTCACGTACACACACTCTGCTGACCGATTTTTTTCCACATCAGAGCCCCCCAACTGTTCACAGGTCCTTAAGCCCACCCACTAATGCCAACATACTGACAACTCTCCCTTCCAACTTGCTTAGCGCCCTGCCAGTGCAAGACGCAAAGTGGGCAGGGATTGGTGGCCGGCCGGCTGGCACTATTTTTATCATAATTTCACAGAACCCTCCAGGATTCAACTGGAAGTTGGCATGCAGGAGCGGTCGGGCCGCTTTGTTCCGGGCCACTGATGTCACAACTTTAGTCTTTAATTGGCGTCAGTGATAGGAGGATGGAGGCTGGATGTGCAGAGGATGACATGTGTGTGTCAGACAGAGAGAGGGGGACATGTTTTAGACAGGTCTTCTGTTGCATCAACACTGGGCCAGAAGCAAGGAGTAAGAGCTGACCAGACCCCAGGTAAATTCATATGGATTTTATTATGTTTAAGTCAATGCAGTCTGTTGTCTTGTTCAGAGTGTCCTGAGCATGTGAGGTGCCTTAGCTTACAGCATGAACCCACAGTAAATTTAGCTTTCGTGGTTGACTTTCTTGAATATTTATGGTGATTGTAGGTTAAAGCAAATGTGTTTCACAGACTTGATTGTCAGTAGGGTCAGAGGCAGAAACATACCCTGGCTTTTTACTCTCTTTAGTGAATGTCTGTTGATGCCATTGACGCTATAAGATAACAGTCGTCACACAAGGTGCTCGACAGTTTTTCAAGTCCACCACGTACTTCAGTTCACAGACAGAGGAGGAAATGAGCTTTTCCTCACCGTATGGTTGTTCAGAAAGCCGCCCACATGCTGTAGCCCGTTACTCAGTGCGACTGAATGTGTTGTTGTGTCTGATACATCTTCAATTGCTGTCTGAAAGCTCCTTCGTCTGCTTCTGAGCCGCTAATGCAGGATGCAAACCAAGCAGGGATTGGTGGATGGCCAGCTGGCCGGCCCTGTTTGTATCATAATTTCACAGAACAGAAGCAAAGTTGTACAGCCATGTTCTTTCATGCAATTGATGCTGCTGCTTTAGCACTGGCAGATCTTTAATTGGCTGTGCTGGGACACAGCCTGGATGCTCAGAGGACAACATTCGTATGGCAATGTGAGAGGATGTATTCACACCTAGGCTTCTGCAGAATGGCTCCAGGGCAGTTATGCTGTGTTAGGCATGAAGCCAAGATTGTGGTCTCACCAGAACCTGCATAAATGTATGTTTATCTAGTTGTTTAGATATGTGCTGCGCATATATACTGTCACATTCCTGGTGAAGGTGATGGTGTGAGTGTTTTCAGTGACACATGTACACATCTCACATATCTCACATGTCACGTGTTACTGAAAACACAGACATCTCTTCACTGTCACCTTCACCAGGGGTGTGAATGTATGTATAGAGATATGAACTCTTGTCTCTATTTTATCCTGAAAAAGCTCTGTGTGGTTAGCTTTAAATATGAAGATGGAAAAATTAAGTCACTAACTTAACTTAACTCAGGTCACAAGATACTAAACAATACAAAACGTAACTGAATGACTGTGAAGGTAAAGCAGATAATATGCTTTTTGAGCTATTATATATAACATGTATACAGAGTTGTATGTACTGTGCATCTAGAGTAAAAGCAGTGAGTAGGTTGGAATGATAGAAATATTGGAGCAGGGGGTTTTATGTACAGAATACAAATAATTCCCAACTGATTGCAATGATAGTGAGCTCTGGTAGCCAGTAACTGGTTAAGAAAATTGTAAGAATATGCACATGCACTATATTTACATAATATCTACACAGTGCTGACTGTACGTTACCAGCAAAAAGATGTTATGGACCAATTACAGAGATCAATTTATTATATATGAGGCCAGTCTTGATTACTTCCCCCCTCACCTCAGGCACCAGTCCCCCCTCTCCGTGTCTTGCCGCTCCCCGTCTCTCAGTGAGATGCCCCTGGGCTCGGTGTGCGGGCGAAGGCCCACTTGTCACCGCAACATCTGCACCAAGGTGCTCCTGGCTGAGGGGAAGGAAACACCCTTCACCGAGCACTGCCGCAACTATGAGAACACCTACAGGGTGAGTGCTTTGTGACCAGTGATTTAAAAGTTACATTTCTGATATTAACATGATGATTTTATCCAGAACAACAATTGAGAAAGCAGCTTTGCATGGCTGTATTTAGGCACACCGGTGCTTTGAGCTACTTGCTAACATCATGTTTAGCAGATATAATGATTACCATGTTCACTGTTTTGTCTTAACGTGTCATGGCATTTGCTAATTAGCACTAAACACAATCTACAGCTGAGGCTGATGGGAGTATTGATAGTTTTGCAAGACGTATTTGGCAAATTCAAATTTAACTTGAATTAAATGAAAACTTTAAAGATGATCACAGTTATTACAGTTCATTTTTGTAGAAAGTGAATTACACTTGAATGCCAAACGTGCAAAATCATTAGTAATTCACACGTGCTTATTTCCCTGCGTTCTTACTAAAGAGTAGGGCTGGGCAATGTATTGATATTATATCAGTACCATTGTCATGTAGTGTAAAGCAGGTGGACCCAAACACAGGAGACTGCAGGCAACAGGAACTCAAATAAATTACTTTTTATTCAAGGTTTGAGCAAAAAGAAGCAAAGCTGCAGATCACATCACAAAAACATTGATCCAGCAAAGATTTAAATGCAAACCAGGGCTTAAATACAAATTAATCTGACAAGGGGATGAAGTGCAGGTGAGGGGAATAAGGTGATTAGGTAGGAGAACAGGCAGGGAGCTGATTGGCTGGAAAACTCTGGAGCAGAGGAGGACTAATGAGGCTGATGCAGGTGATTAGGGCAGGGCAGGTGTGTCGATGGGCAAATGAGGAGAAGGCAGTGCAGGAACACAGGAGGCTAAAAAAAATCTCCCACAGTTAACAGAAACCCAAAAACCCAGAAAAAACAATCCTCTTAATAATAAAATGACCGCAATGGAAACAAAGACAGAGTAAATAACACTGGCAACTGAAATTATTCCAGAGTCTCGTCTGATCTTCCCAAAAAGTCTGAAAGCATCAGGACACAGAGCAGACTGTGACAATCATGATATGAGACCAGATATCCTCTTAGATTTTGGATATCATAATATCCTTGGTGTTGTCTTTTCCTGTTTTTTAAGGCTGTGTCACAATACAGTTATGTATTTTACTAAACTTACCAGACTGCTCCCACTTAGTCACGAGATCCACATTACTGATGATCGTTTATCAAAAATATCATTGTGTAAATGTTTTGTGAAAGCACCAATAGTCAGTCCTACAATATCCGCTTTTACACTGCCTCTTCAAGGCGGTAATTTTACTTCATTATGCTGCCTCGCCGGTCTGTATAAAGTACAATCGCGGAAGAGGGAGACAGAGTTGTCTCGTCTTTAAGACGGCATCAGAAGTAGAAACACCACCAAAACAACGTCTGTGTTTAAGTATCATGGGCAGTACAGGTGGGACATTTTGATGACGTGTTATGCATGCGACCCACCACAGGAGATTTTAAAAGTAGCTGATAGCTGTTAGCAGCTAACTCAAAGAGGAAGAACAGTGGCTGAAAATGTCTGCAAATTGGGAAAACAATGAGGTCTAGGAGCTCCTTATAGGAGTGCGTGTTAAGGCCCTAAAATAATATCACAATATTTCCAGATATTTTTGCAATAACCATATTCTTTACGATATGTCAAATTAGAAAAAAAAGTATTATTAATTTAAGAAAATAGAATTGCAATAAAATAAGTGATATAGTTTTACAGTTTGCCTTAAAGCATTCAGTAAAAACTAAACAAAAATGATCTTATTTCTTTAGTTTGTGAACAACAACTGTAACTCAGAGTGAGTTCAGATTTTGTATACAATATTAATAGCTCAACAAAATAAAACCTTTAAGCAGCTCCCAAATACAAAAAATGTACCCTGGGATCTATATATATAAATCAACAGGTGATTTCCTTCTCTTAGTAAAATCCTAAATGATTGATTTGTTTGTTTTTCCACCTGGACCTTTATGCTCTTCCAGTTCTCCTCTAATCATCACGCTGTAACCTGTGACAGGCTGTTATGATACCACAACTATCGCACATTCACATATATGTAGGTTTTTGTCGAGCTGTGAGCGTCACGTAGGTTTACATTACCAATTTTTTCTGACAAAATCACTTAGACGCCGACTCCTGTGTGCACACGGTGAGAGAGGAGAGGGAGAGATGCTGTGCTGCTGCCAGAGGAGCCGCTGACTGAGTTCCCTCTGATCGGTAACTCGCTAAAAGAGTCTGAGAAGTCCAGGGCTGTTCATAAAACATTCAGGACGCCACAGTTTATTCCACACTACTGAAGCTGCTCCTCTTTTTGGAATCACCATGGAGTCGCTGATAATTTTGCTTTCAGCCATGCTCGTTGTTGCCGTGGGTAACAGTATGACGTCAATATGTTGACAAGTCAAAACTTTGTGAATTTTTCATATGATATTAAAAATGATACTGGTATTATCATGAACAAGATGATATGGTTCACCCTTGGCTCCTTACCCTCCAAGCAGAGGACGAGATCAGCCGCCATTTAACAGGGACGGTAAATGATTGTTATCGACACATTAATGCCGTTACTACACTTTATAAAGCGCCTCCAATGCGTATGTTGTATGTCACATTAGAGGCCAAAGCTATTGTTTTTATGTCACGCCCATCACGCCTCTTTTTTTTCCATAATGATGTGTGGCATGATGTCACCATTGTTTGTTTCTGTGTAAAAAGCACAGGCAATGTAAAAGAAGGGACTTTGTAGCGACCCTATAGCGCAAGGTCTTTGTGTATATCTTTTTTTTTAATAAATTGACAAGAATTACTTTATGCTATTTGATAGTTTTATGTCTGTAGTTTGTAAACCTCCTATATTTGGATCCACACTGGTAAAAACTGCTGCAGCAACTCCTCTCCTTGGGATGAGGATCCATCTCTGATCCTTAAAGTAAAACAATAAGAAGGCAGCAGCATGAATTCCTCTGGGAACTCAACCTGTCTGCAGGGCAACAAGGTTTTCACGCTCGGTTGCACTTCACCCAGCATCTGTACACCCATCAGATCTCTGACATTGAAGCATCTCTTGAGTGTCATGTCTTATGTACAGTGTGTCTGTGTGTGCTTGTAGACTCTTCAGACAGAAATTCAGAATCTGAAGGACCAGGTCCAGGAGCTGCACCGAGATCTGACCAAGCACCACTCCATCATCAACACGGATAAGATGGGAGAGATCCTGGACAGATCGTTATACATCGACAGCCAGATAGCCTCCCAGCACTCCACTGTGGAAACTATGAGAGTCATGTTTGAAGAGGTGTGTCAAGTGATACCTTGATGATGATCTTTAGTATGTACCTTTCTCTGCCAGGCAGTTCTGACAGACAAAAAGTTCCTACGTTTGTCCTCAGTCAGTACCTCTAGCTGCATACTAACAAGCTGGCTTTCCCCCATTGTTATAAATGTAGAGTGCTGGGAATGTAAACAGAGGGAAAAGAAAAGAAATGTCAAGGTATCCCCCGAGTCGAACGACTGCAGTGCATTGATATTTTATTTCATGAGAATCAACTCACTGCATTCTCCTCACAGATCTGGGATGAGACTTTTCAGAGGGTCACTAATGAGCAGGAGATCTATGAAGGTTTGTCTCAAAAATTCAAACGTATCAAACATTTATCTCTCTTTCGTTTTATATTTCAAACCTCACTGTCATTTCCTTTGTTTACTGATTCCAGCCCAGCTTCACGACCTAATGCAGCTGAAGCAGGAGAACTCTTACCTAACCACAATCACCAGACAGATCAGCCCATACATCCTGTCTATTGCCAAAGTCAAAGAGAGACTCGAGCCCAGGTGTTGTATTCAGAGGATATATTACCCTCATATTGCCCATCTGCTGCCATATTGGTTGACTGATGACAGTGATTGGAGGGAAATAGAAGCACCTAAAGCAGCTTAATATGAAGTACCACCTCATAAAGCATGAGGGTGTATGTGTAGTACCGGATGGATAGTGGAAATGACAGCAACAAAAAAATGTTGTATGTCTTACAAACACATTTGTAATGCGTGGCATCACCAAACAAAGTCAGAGTGGGGGTTTTATCCACTTTTGAAGCTGCTTTGTTTAAAAATATCATCTGAATTAAGTGACATTAAAGGGACAGTTCACCCCAAAATCCAAAACACATATTTTTTCTCTTTTCCGCAGTGCTATACATCAATGTACGTTGTTTTGGTGTGAGTTGGGGGGGGGGTTAGAGATATCGGCCATAAAGATGTTTGCCCTCAGTTGAATATAATGGAACTAGATGGCACTCAGCTTGTGGTATTCAAAGCACCAAAAAAATACTTGTGAAAAACTCAACATCAATGTCTCTTTTCAAAAATCATGACCTGGTTACTCGAGATAACCCACAGACATTGTTGTGAGCAGTTACATGTAGGAACTATTTTTTCTCTACTGAGCTACACCCACCAGCTGTACTGTGTAAACTGTGTAACTACAACTTGCAGGTCTGTCACATGATGCCATTGGGCCCAGACAAACTTTTTCCCATAGACTTAAATCGGGAAAGAGGCATCTGGAAATCAGTGGATAATTTTTCTGAGCATCACAACCCCCGTGAAATGACTCGTCTCATTATCAGAGTTTGATCCATTTGTTTCAGTAATATATTCAGTAATATATAAGTCCAAAAGAGACACATGATTAAATCCTTTATTCTCTGTTCATGTTAGTGGAAGTTAGCTACTTGACACGCAAAAGTCTCCAGTGTCCTTGTTGTATGGCCCCAATGATGCAGAAGCAGAGCAGAAGATCCGGGTAATTTTACACACGGAAGTCAAACTTTTTGGTTTCATGTGCCACTGAGCATCTTTCATAGAGATGAATAGGGCCCCATTCTGATAATATGTCCATCTCTCATTATACATCCATGCAACTGTATCTCCACACAAATGGAAGGATGCATCTACTGCTAGCTCACCCAACACCACTGAGCTAGCTAATGTTAAAACTAAGGCTGCGTTCCACTAAGAATTTTCCTAGTTGATCAATAGTCGTCATTTAGGGTTATTAGTCGACTAGTCGCCTGCATGTTTATGATATTAATTTAATTATGACATTATATATTTTGGGCGGGGCAACACAATGGTTTGAGTTGAAGGTGTGAGAAAGAATAGTATCAGTAACATTGTTAACACTGTGCTACATTACAGAGAAACACAAAACCGTACTAATGAACCTTCATTAATATAGGCCTATATTTTATCTACAAGTGCACGTCACACACTGAGCGAGCCGCCTGTTAATGACGCTGTGGGCTAATGGGCATGTAGCTACTTCCATGTTTCAGATGATACGTCATGTTTGTAGTCGACCAATGAAGATGAGTTTACATATCACCTTGGGTTCGTCCTTCACCTTCTCAAAATGATCCCACACTTTGGATTTCCTGCCCGACATGTTATTAACTAGCCTGTGGAATAACAGGAAATTAACCTGACTCCTGTCTGACTGCTGAGCGTGGCCTCTTCCTGTGTCTGTCCTTTCAAATTAAAGTCCCACATGGTCCAGTCATATAGGTTTTGATTTATTTTGACAAGGTTCAGCTCCTTATAGAGTTTCACATTTTTTTGTTTGTTTGTTTGTTTGTTGTTTTTTCTGCGATCAAGTGACCAATAAAATCTTGCTGACTAATGACCTTTCTGGTTGACTAACGTTTTGTTGACTATTAGGGGGCAGCCCTAGTTACATCCGTTCACGAACACAAGCCTCTCTCTCCATGAATAGATGCACGCTTCATTCTGCGTGATTCTACTGTTTGCAGTCATAACTTGATAAGAGAAAACAGTTCCTACATGAAACTGCTCACAACAAGGTCTGTGGATAATTTTGAGTAACCAGGTCATGATTTTCTGGAAAGAGACATTGCTGTTTAGTTTTTAAAACTTGTTTTTGCCACTTTGAGCACCACAAGATGAGTTCCATCTAGTTCCATTATTTTTGAGAGAAGGCAGACATCTCTACAGATGGTATCTCCAACACTCAGTAACTCACACTGAAACAATCTAGACTGATAAATAGCACTACAGGCAAAAGGAAAAATGTATTTTTGATTTGTTGGTTTGTAAGCTTCAGTGAATTAATTTATAATCAACAAATCCCATGAAAAGACCCAAACCTGTGGTGGATTGTTTATATTAACAAGTATTATCTGTGTGGCTTTTCCTCTGTGCACTTGTGCTGAAGTGTTGTCCAGAATCTATTAAAAACACATCAGTGAGCGTGGTCGCTGCACTGGGTGACATGTTCCTTCATTACCATGAACATGGGCACTGTAGTTTATCTTAACTGAGCTCCACATACGCTGTTCTGCTGCAGTAAATACTCACTGGAGCAGCAAATTTGTTTTAATCTGCCGCTGAAAGTAGTCCACAACAAATGCATTGTTTATTCTTGTTTGCACAATACTTGCTAAAAACTGCAGCGACCAGCTGTTTCAGGAAATTCCCGAGCCTTTCAAGCAAGATGAACTGTGTGTTTGTGTGCTGTTTTTAAAGATTTACATCTTCAGTAGGAACAAATGGGCTTAGGTCTGAGAGCCACAGACAGAGTATGGAGGCTGCAAAGTATTGAGTATTGAGACAGACTATGCATTGTTGGTTTTGTCCTTTTTGTGGGATTTGACAAGAAGACAAATGCAGGATAACACCAGTGAGTGCACTGACAACTGAGGAAAATGATCATATGTCAAAATGGTTTTTTTTAGGCTTCAGGAGAACAAAGAGCACCATGACGACCGCACAGAGACGATGCTGAAAATATATGAAGACAGCACAATGGCTAAAGACAGTCAAGACAGGTACTGACACATACTGTGCAGCACAACTATAGACTATCAATAACGCCTTATCTTAAGTAGAATGTTTCAGCCATACAAAGAGCCACCCCAACGCGTAAGAGATTTTGTTTATGATTGGGGCAAGATTTCAAAAATAGCCTGTCATTTTATTGTGCTTTATTTGATGATTTAAGGATCGCGCTTTGTAGTAAATCGTCTCCACTCAGCAGACTTCCTGTGGCTGGGTTATAATAAAAGGCTTGAGTTGTGTATTATGTAGGGAACCATGTTGTGATGGATTATATTTGCAGAACTAAGGGAGAGAGGCAAAAAAGTACTTTGTCCTTAGTTTGTGTCGTAATCTAGTGTCAGGTCTTGTTTCACTACTCATATATTTGGTATCTTATAAATCCAAATGGATATTCTTGGACTATCCTGGATATTCTTACAAAGAAAGGAAAAATATAATCAGCAATCATCTAAATTTGTGATAATGAATACCCTAAATGATACATTAACCTCTTATTCCTGAGGCCTCAGGCTCAGGCCTCTGCTCGAAAATTACATGCCCAAATTAACTGAGTATTTAAACCAGGAGAGACAGAAAGCTGAAATAAAGATAATATTTAACATAGAATATGAGTGTACAGATTAACAGATTTGTGCTGATTAAGATTTAACAGAAGTCTTTGGCGCTTGGACACCAGAGGGAGACGTTTTGTGATCTAGGGACATCTGAGCAGCAGCAGGATAAATCCCACCATGGAGTCCAGACACTGGTGGTGGTGGCGGCTGATGACTCTGAGGCTGCTGACTGCTGAGGCCGATGAGGCTGATGAATCCATAAAGACTAGGTGGTGATGTGGAGGTGGAGGGCGCGCAAAACGGCAGCAAGAAAGAACTACAGCAGAGAAAGAACCATGTTTAAAATGAGGGGCAGTAAGATGATAGGCTGACAGAGAAGATGTGATGCTGTGCTATTGGTTGATTGTGAATCAGCTGAAAACAGCTGATGACTCGATTGACCTACCCAGACAATGACACCTAGAGACAGTGAGTGGGCACGCGTCAAGGAGTGAATGGCAGGGTGAGAAAGAAAAGTATTGTCTTCCCGATTGAACTTTCGCTAGAGCTTAATTTCTCTGCAACTACAAGGTCTGTATGAATAATCGTGGTGTTATAATAAAAGTAATATTTGTGAGATTTATGTTACTGGGTCAGAGTAAATGAAGAAATAAGGCAGAATAAATACAAGATTTTAACTATTAAAGTGAGGCAGAATTAATTTAGAGAGATTTTAATTTGAGGCGTATAAAGGCGGAACTTCCAGATTAGCAATTTTAGGTACATTTGTGTACCATCTGTGCCTCTCAGGTACTGGAAACCTCATTTCATGTCACTTACATGTCACTATAGGTATTAATTCCATCTAAAAAACAAGTTATAGGCTTTAATAACAAGCCCAGGTTTGGTTGTAGTAGGATATAGTATATAACCAAAGCTAACAAAACAGTCACATTTATTAAGTATGTGCTCGTGTCCTGGATTTCGGGGGTGCAGCTCCTCATTTATTTTTTCTTGACAGTGACAACCAGACCTGTGTCACAGACCAAGACAGACACAAGAACAACCACCCGCTGATCCTCGAGTCAGGGGACAGCTCTGTCAAGACCAATCGTTCCAGCAGGTCGAGGGCTCCCACGGAGACATCCAGCCACAATGAGATGCCTTCATAAACACCATGTCATTTGATTTCTATCCCCCTCCCTCTCCCCTCCCCGCTCCTGTGTGCCTTAATTCAACCATAACAAGCCCAGGACGGTATGTGCCTTCTTTCTGTGCTGTCCGGATTCTGTACATAACATTTTCACAGCGGTGTGGAGCTGTCAACAGCTCCAAGGTGAACCATTGGACAGACACTAACTGGAGGTACATACTGTATATGGAGGTCAAAGACTGTCAGGACATGGACAGACAAGGATAACAACATCATAAAGAATTACTTTGGTGATATGGGCTGCTTTAATGAGAAGTGAATTATATCTCTCTTTCCTTTCTTTTGTTGCTCTGTTTTTGCTTTGTCTGTTAAAAAGATAAGTTTGCTGCAAGTGTGAATTATCGCTGTCTTTTTTTTTCTAGTGTGTGTGGAATTGCTTTCTGCAGTATCTTTCCTTTGCATAAAACATTTTTTTGGGGGGGGGTGAACCTGGAGGCTGATGATGGATGACTGCCCAGGTCCGATTTCCCCAGAAGATTGTTGAACTGGTGTGACAGCACAGATGGAACACAGCAAATGCAATGATGTGTGTGTCATTCAGGGTGTCAGTGTAGGTCACATGTTGATGTGTGTCTCCTCCAAAATGAGGCAGTCATTTCCAGGATGGTGTCTGCAGAGGGGGATTTTCTTTCCCCCACGCAGTTTCCACATCTACATGCAAAAAGTAGAAAAGCTGGAATTACAGAGGTGTGTGAATGTAACTGGCCTCGCCATAACCTCGATCTCCTGCTAGTTTTTTCAGACTCCACACTTATTCTCAATATCCCGGCCGACCGAGGCCCTGTCTACAGGAGGAAATATATTCCTCTTGGTTTCGCCTCTAGACTTCATTGCATGTCAGTGTCAGCAACATGTTTTCAGGCATTTGCCCTGCAGGAAATCAGCAGGTAACTTTCCTTTTCTCTTACTTCCCCTCTGCTTCCTTTTACCTTTGTATTCTCCTTAAAAAAAGTACTTCACTGCTGGAAAGATGATCTTTTCATAAAACTGGGCTGTCTACGCAGGAGAAATATGCAAATACTTTTAAAACTGGAGCAACATGACCAGAGAAAACAGAAGAAAAGGGCTGTAGCATTTGCTACCTTCTATACCATAAATACAGTGCCCCATATCATGATTTCAGTGCTGCAAAAAATCCCAGAGGAGACACTGACGTGAAATATTGTTATATCGTGGTTTTAGCTGGCTAATGTTAGCTAACGTTGGCTTGCTTTCTAATGCGCATGAATTGTGTGCTAGCAAACGTAGCAAAATACTGTATTGAGTGGATAATGTCTGCTAAATTATCCAGACCCTCTGAGCTGGTTTAGAAATTTCTTTATTAGCTACAAAGCAACCACCAGCAGATCGATGCAGCATAGCTACGTTACAGCTAGCTTGGCAGCTAACAAGCTAACCGTAGCCTAAGCTAAGGTTAGTCACCTAGCTGTAAAGCTACGCTGCATGGATCTGCTGGTGGTTGCTTTGTAACATTAGCTCATAAAGTAATTTGCAAATGGCAAGCTAGTTAGTATCATGGAGCCTATGTTCTAAATCAAAATATAGGAACACACAGATAGTAAAGCTATTCTAAATATGACTGTAATGTTTTTTCCAGTTTTCTATTAACATGCTGCTGGTTAATCACGGTCAGTCTCTTCTTAAGCTCAGTTCAGACCAAAGATTTGTGACGAGATGAGTTGAAACAGGCAACTACTTTCAGTGCGCAATTCTGCAACCATTCCTCTCACACCAATGCAACTAGATGAGACGGTGTATCATCTCTATGCAACAATTCTATACTTCTGTTCTGATTTCCAGGTTTTCAGGTTTATTTTGTGGCTGAATATAATTTGTAGCTTCTTAAAATATGAATGAGGATAGTGACTGTGAGATACTGGCTACAGCTCCATTTGTAGTAGTGATGAAACAAGATGAGTATCAGTTGGACTGTATTCATAGCGACCCATCGTCCAACACCAGCACACCATGAGGACGGAAACCGAGGGCTTGGCAGGGACGGAGCACTTGCAAAGCAAACACGTCATCTACGGTCATTTTGACTTGACCAGCAGACTTCACTAAAAGCTGATCAGCTGTTGAAACAGGCAACGTGCCCTATGTTCTAAAACTAGCTGTAGGTGACACCATCAGTCGGCTTGAGTCTCGCTCAGACAGGCCAGTTCACACCGCTGCAACGTTCTAAATCGGTTTCGTCTCATCGCGGATCTTTGGTCTGACCTAGGCTTTAGTCCCAGTTTGGCTGATGCAGGTGTTCGCTAGTAGCTATGGCGGACTCTGACTGCATTTCACTTCAACAGAGAGGTGTCACTATAACGAGGATTTTCAGAAAGTTACATACAGAACCTTTAAGACAGGCGAGTCCCAAGTCAAGCCCCAAGTCCTGCACTTCAAGTTTGGAGTAGTAAACAAGTCACAATGCGCTCTCGATTTTAACAACAGTCGTGTTAAATTTACAAAAATCATGAATGCTTTTTAAAATGTATATTTATTTGTTAAAACATGTTTGTTGGATGTTTTTGCATCTCTGTGTGTAATTTTCAACGTTTTGCATACTGCACTTCCTTTTTGTTGACCACCACATAGTTTATGTACGCGCATGGGTATCATTTTTTCCAGCTGGCACTCAATAATGTAACGTTAAAGGGCCAGTGTGTAAAATGGGTTGAAAACAGTGACATCAGTGGTCAAATTCTAGATTGCAGGGCTCACTCGCTCACCCCTCCCGTCGGGTAAATGACGGTGGCCTCGTAGGGACAAAAAGCCTTGCGCACGAGTTTTTCAGGAGTAGGTCTATCTAGCGACGAGGTGAATGTTTATTTAGAAATCTAAACCATGTTACGATATTGTAATGAATCCCTCACGAGCAGGAGACCAGAGGAGCGTTCGGGAAAAAGGCCCGTTTATTTGAGCACTCCAGAAACTCCGGTAACACTCCACTCCGTCCCAAACTCTGACTCTTCTAGCGTAACAGACACACTTCATAACTTTACACACATACTCGTTTACCATACTGAGTGGGGACCCCCCTCCCCTCTCTGCTCCGCCAATCTCCAGCCCGCACACTGACTGACAGCGTAGCCGGTAAACAGAGCTCAGCTGTTTATTTAGCCTAGCAATATCTCCGGACTATAGTAGCTGCAATGGACGACTTTGAACGCGATTTTGAAGAGTTTCTTGTAGCGGACACAGACCCAGAGCCATACCTGTTTGAGCCGGAGCATACAGATGAGGAACTCCATGTGTTTGATGCTGAGCGGGTGAGAAGAGAGGCTGAATGCACAGAATGGGATTCGGTGCTACTGCTACCATCGTTGGGGAGATATATCATCAGGAGGAAAAGCGCCGCAGAGAGTGCATCACAAGGAGTGAAGTTGCGTCTTCTTTTCCTCGCAGATGACGGTTCGGGTTCATTCTCTCCTGTTGCGTGGTAAGTGTGGTCCATTCGCAAACTTTATAACTAAAAAAACTTTTCACTACTCTCTATCGACGAACTACTAACACTCTCTGCTGTTTCCTCCTCCTTCTTCCTTCCTTCCACTGTCTTCGTTGGTTTATTTATACACGCAAAACGCGTTCTCTGGCTGGCTGGATTGTCCGCTCGGTCTGCCGTACATACATGGCGGCGCAAGATGTCGACCTCTCTAAAGCAAGGCCCTTGCTATATATATATAAAAGCATAATTATAAGGCTACGAAAACCAAACGAATTTTATTTTATAGCCATTATACACTTATATAAACATATTAATGGGCAGAATATTCAGATTCAGATTCAGATTGACAATAAACCATGCCAAATATTACACACTGGCCCTTTAATTCATGGTTCTCTCCTGCAAAATGATAAGATGTTGTCGGATTGGTTTAAACAAAGTACATCATCTGTGGAAATAAGTGTCTGAGTAGCGTTAACGTTAGTTGATTCAGGAAATGGAGGGACATGAATTGATATGTGTCACACTTTTTGGGTAACATACCTTTTAATCTTTGGGCTTGGGGGAAGGTATCAAGTATTTTCAAGACAAAAGGCTCAAGTCCAAGTTAAGTCACGAGTCATTGGTGTTACATTTTCCTAAAAAACAAAGACAATGACTTCTGCAGAGTCTTTGCCCTCTGCCTGTATTTTCTTATTATTTTCTGTGTCCAGGGCATTTATGGGTGTGTATCTTTGCAGCGCTCAGGTGAGGTCGCAGCTTTATGAAAAGGTAGCAACCAGGTTCCAGACAGTAAGCAGCAAGCATCCAAGAGTTTAGCGAGGCAAAATGCCAAAGGCTGAATCTGGGGTTGGCTCTTACTGTCACTTTCAGTGGTGAGCTTATTTACAACAGTATAGTATACCTTTAAAGACCAGGTAGAGTTGTCTTGTCATCACATGTGTGACTCAAGTCCAAGTCATGTGACTCAAGTCCACACCTCTGCTTTTTACCCAACTGTTGCAAAGGCAGAGGATTTACTGTGGAGGAGCTGCCATATGTCACCAGAACCATTTGAATTTGAAATGATTTCAGGAGATGGTGTTGCTGACCCTAAAAGCTTTTTTGAAGGGTTTTTTTCTCACCAAGACAAACAACATTGTTAAGAAACACAGAGTTTAGTACACAGGAGCGATTCAAGGTGAAACCTCCCCACCTGCTGCCAGCACAGAGACAGGAGCGGCCCCGATTCTCAGCACAGGTAGGGATGATAATGAGGAGCTAGACTGATGGCTTCAGCACTCAGAAGGAGAAGGTTATTTACATTACACAGCCAGAGCTAAAGTGGGTTTGTTCAGAGCCGCCGCTTCACAGGAAATATTGGGGTCATGCTGGCCTTAAGGAACAGTCCTGCTCTGCGGAGGAGTCAGAGGTGCAGATTCATTAAAAATACATTTGTGACAGCAGAGAAACAAATGGCTGTGCCTCTGCTCTGGTCCTGTACTCCCTCCCCGTGGTCATTCATCATCTGCACTCATCGAACTACCAGGTCCATGTTCACTGTTCATTATTCTCGCTCTCTCTCAGTCTCTGCTGGGCTCCCTCACCGACTGCTTGAGGCAGGAAGAAAACCCGAAGGTTATTTCACTCCAAGAAAAAAAGTTATTTTTTAAGAGGCATTCATGGCACATTTGGAGGTAAAGTTCATCCAAAAATGGTTCTTATTTCTTTAGCAATTAAGGTGGGACACACCTTTGCTCCACTCACTTCACAGCAGGTGCCAGCGGAGACACTTAGAGAGGAAGAATCCTGCTTCCAAGGCTTTTTAACTCCAAAACCGTCATCACACAATCGAGAAAAACATTGAAGATAGAAGAGAAAGATAAGAAAATGAAAGTTTAATGATCTGCTAAGAAAAAAGTA